GAAATAAGGGCGAGAGAGAGTAGGGAACGACATGCAGGAAAGGAGCCACAGGCAGGACCGGAACCTGGGCTGCCCGTCTGGAGGACCATAGCCTCCACACATGGGGCACCATCTACTGCGCCACCAGCACCCCTTGAATTTACAAATTTGACTAAAGTGGTGCTGGATAACCTCCCAGTTATTACCCGTGCCCCATGTACAGAGGCTGCAGTCTTCATCCCAGCGGCCATGGGTTCGAATCTGGCCTCAGCCCTTTTCTGCATGTCACCCCCTATTTCCTGTTTCCCATCTCCCTTCAGCTGCAGGCCTACTATCCAATGAAGGCAAAATCGCAGAAGAGACACTTTTTTGATTTTTGAATTTTTCACTTCTTCTCTCAGGTCCAGTTTCTCCACAGCCAGTGAAGGACTCAGTGGGCTCAGATCACGTGATTCTGAGTTGGAACATTTCTGCTTTTATGCAGATGACACCACACAGTTACAATGTGACGCTGTGCACCAACACATGTAACACGCTTGTCTTCCACTACACTACTGGCTCTACCTTCATGACCATCAAAATCTCCAACCTAACTTCAGCCACAGAGTTCGTCATTGAGATTTCTGCTTTTGTTGGACGACCCGAATGGGCTGGGGAAAAAATTATCCTTCAAAGTAACCCTACAGCTTTACAAGTCAAAACAGGTAAGGACTGACATGCACCTCACATGCTTTGATTTTATGGGGAAAAAAATGTAATCCATATGTATATCTTTCTCTTTCCAGTGGACTCTCATAGGCAGTCCAGAGCAATCTTTGTCATATTTAAGTTGCTCAAGCTTGTGTCTCTGGCTCCTCCACTGTGGATTCTTTGTCAGATCCTGAAAAATTGTAAGAACTTTCCTGAGCAACAAAGAAAACATACACTTAATTATCCCCTTCATGCCTCCCATGGTTAACTCTTACTTCTTCTGCAGATGACTTCAAGGAATCAGCAACTCATTTCTCAAGAGTTCAGGAGCTCTCAACCATAGAGACCCTTGTTGAGCTGGTCCCAGACAGAACCAGAGGAATTGGTTAAAAATGAAAATCCTAGACCTTAGCTAGAGGTCCATGTGAAAGGAAAGTGTATTTAATTGTAATTACAACTGAAGTAAAGCAAAAGGGGTGAAGGCAGTTTGCAGCAAGCTGTGGTTGGTCAAACTAAACTGACAGGTCAAACTAATAATACTTCTCATTACAAGCAGAGTCAAATCATGATGCTGTCTGGCATCAATTAAACTATGTCAAAGGTCATTGACTGATACTAGTAAGAGTGTACGGTTGTTTGGAATGTATTACTTACTTATGACTCATTTTAACTGCTCCATTTCATTTATAAATCTCGTAGTTTGAGGCCTTGTTTTGTAGTATTTAGAATTACTGAGCTTTGATGCCCTGAGACAGCCCCATAAGTGGGTTTTAATGTAGGCTATATGGACATTATATGAACTTTTGGCTTTGAACCTAAAAAGCAGGGAATTACCTTTCCAGCATTCATGAACCAAAAGTAAAAACAGCTGAATAAAACTATATAATATTAAGATTTACATGGTTAGACATTCAGAAAAGAAAACATGGCCATTGTAATATGTGTTATTAAATCAAATTCTGTTTATCCTGGTTCTGTTCAGAACACAACTTGCACAGATTTTGGTCACAGTTTGTAACTGTAGACATCATGATTAAAGTCAACAGAGTTGTGAACTGTGTTGACCCCAAATAAAACAAGTAGTAAGAGTGAACTTTAACTTTAAAATTGCACAAATTATAAGGTGTAGAGAGGTGCTTCCGTTTTTTGGAGCTAGTTCTGATGCAACCCTAAGATGGTGAACTTCAGCGGGTAAAAGCCGGGTCGGGGGACTAGCCTAGCGGGTATGCAACGTATGCCATGTACAGAGGCTATAGTCCTCAGATTTTTGCTAAATGTCATCCCCCATTCTCTCCTCCCAACAATTCCTGTCTCTCCTTAGCTGTCCAATCTAATGAAGACAAAAGGCCCCAAAAGATGACTTAAAACAAGCCCACCATGTTTGTTTCTATCCACTGGAAAAGTAGTCAAAGTAAGTATGGGGTTATTACTGTGTCATTTTGTAGCTTATTCAGATCTTAATGAAAAATAACTTAACTGTCTCATTTCTGAAACAATGGCATATCTTCCCAATGATGGTGTAAGAAAGTGACAGTATGGAGAGAATTATTTTCAGTGGGCAAGAGGGATTGTGGTGTATATGGTTCATTATAATCTGGGGTGAGCTGAATCTTTCAGGCTATCTTGAACAAAAATTCAGATGTACTGTGTAGTCCACCAACGTGTTGTTTTCTAGATGTTGTTTTATTGTTAAATGTGAGGTGATAGAGTTTGAACCAGCCTTTCTGACTTAATGTGGCCAAAGCTGAAATTTGTGGCATATAAGCTATAGATGTTTTCTTATTTATTTATTTTCATAAAACCTTTGGAAAAGATTATCCAGTTAGTTATTTTCTTTCAAAGGCACAACATCCATAAATGTGAAGTGGTCCAGCATTGACTTAAAACACTATTTATTAAAAAAGTTGTGATTTTGTTTTGTTTTTTAAATTTCAATTCAAGGCTTAAAAATATCTTAAATTTGAATCGCACAAATTCTTATAGTAATTTGGCATTTATTTTATTTTTTTACTTTTATGCTGCTATTTTTTTATACATATATTTTGTATTTATATCTAGTATTTTTTATGTAAGGCCTATCAGTGCATGCTGAATAAATCAAATGTAAATTGGAGTGTCAATTTCTTTCAAAGACTGATAGCCTTTGGTAGATTTACATTTATTTGAATGTTTTGGACACAAATAAATCTCCACAACAGTTAAAATAAATTTACAATATTCTGGCTCCTGATGAATTTTCTCTCAGATTTAAAAAAGTTAGCTAAATCCAAAACCTCAAAATGAGGATTGAGGTAGTGAAAACGTTCAGAACTAAGAAAATATTTTAGACCATAAAGCTCACTGTTCTCTTTTTTTCTGTGCCTTTAAAGTGTTTAAGACTTGTGGTTCCTTATATCAACATTGTGTTTCATGTTTTGAACAAACTATTCTACAGCAGAAATGTACTGTAAGCAGCCTATAGCTTTCTTTGCTGGCTGCTCGTGTCTCAAAGAGTCGAATAAAATAAATCTGACAAACTATTGTTACTGAAAATCTTTTTTGGCTCTTTTTTGTTTGGAAACCGAAACAGTGTATCTACATTTTGGGAATTATGTTTATTAAATGTATGACAGTCTTTATGATAGATTTGAAGCTGCTAAAGCTAGTAAATAGTAGCTTTAGCTCTGCATAAAGACTAGCTTTCGTAGTCTTTAAAATAAGCTAGGCTTAGCTCTTACCTGATCTCTTGAGATTTACTAATGCTAGATGCCTTTGCAAGAGTTAAGAGCGTCTAAACAGCAAAATCAACATCACACCATCAGTCTAACCCATCTCTAGGGTCCTTGCAGTAGATTTGTTGGATATTTCTTAGAATTCAAATACTACTGTGAATGATGCAAAGCCATCTTTACAATTCATGCAAAGACATAAATAAAGAGTCCTTTCCCTCATCCTAATTCCACTTATCTTATGTCTATAAATCTCCTCAGAGAAGAAAGTATAACAAAGGCTTCAGGCTACATAGACTCTAATGTGTCCGTCCATCGATCCATTCCCCCCCCCTTTCTTCATTTGTCTTCTGTTTGGGGGCCCTAGCACAGACTTCCCTCTCCAAAGCAATATGTTCTATCTTAAAGGGCACACACTCAAATTTAAGTGTTACGGTTAGTACAAATTCTGGACCCAAAAGCACAACTCAGATAGGCAGGATCAAGTTGATAACAAAAAGGTTTATTCCAAAAAGTGACTCAAAAGGTGAAAGGGGGAGGGGTAGTGCGAGGTTCTCAGTGGCAGTGTCCGCGATCCCAGAGTGGTGTCCAAAAAAAGCACAGGTGAGGTGAAGCAAAAAAACCCAAACAGCGATCTGGTGCAAGGCAGAGAAGAAAAACAGGGTTAGGTACACACGCTATCACAATGAGCACTAGAATCCAGAGAAGCCAAGAGAGTACAATACCACGCGAGCAGGTGAAACAATCTGGCGCCGAGGTGAAGCAGAAAGAAGTCTTTGTAGTTGAGATCCTGATGACCAACTAGCTGCAGCTGGCGCCGCCTGAGAACATGAACCCCGCCCACCAAACTCACACAGACAGGGGAGAGACGTATGAGGATTAAACAGACAGGAAATGACAAACAACACAACAAAGGGGGAAGGAAGGGCTGCCATGATGTGAATCATGACATTAAGCCTCTTTTATCAGTGGTATAATTCCTCTGGTAACTACCCAAAGCTTGAAACATTGGGTGAGAGAAAGTAAAATGATTCACCCAACTGTCAGTTACAAAGCCCACCTAACTGCTGTTGGTAACTAATCATCTCATGCTCCATACCCACTCATAAAAAGATCCTGACATAGTTGAACTTCTTATGAAATATGTATTATGTGCTATTGTGGAGGGAGCCTTACCCAGTGATTGTCCAACATATTTGATAGTGGCATTAACTTAATTAAAAAAAAGCATACAAGAGGTTTAAAAAAAGATAAAGATAGATCAAAGTTTCCCATTCTTCCAACTGTCCTTCAATCTTTTTATTTCTTGATTATGCGACCTGATGTCACATCAGCCAATATGTTTCACTTTCACAGGATTTTCTGAATCATGACATGACATTATAAACAGTCATAAGTGTAGCTGACATTGAGTAGTTTTCATGGCCCACCCATGCTGAGAAATCTGTACGCTGACGATGTGAGCTGCTTCACGTAAAAGCCTCCGAAGCACAGCCTGTGAAAAATATGGTTCATGACAAAAACTGTTACCACACTGTTGAGGTTTTTGTGTCTTGCGTCCATTTTGCTGACTCTCGCATTTCCATGGTCAGACCACATCCTTTGAGCTTAACATATAAAGCAAGCATGTGAACAGAGATGGGTTTTCAGTGCATCCACCAACATTTCAAGATGCTCTACCTCAGGGGATTCATTGTTTGTATCTGTTGTATCGATCTCCTCATTGTCCAGTCAGGTGAGTTTTTAGAGTTATTAACGTCATCATAGCGTAGTCATTCTTGTAAACATGCAAAATGTAAAGTATTCAATATTATGTCGATATTACCATGCAGCCGGATTGGTGCTGTGCTTGATTTTATTGATGCAATTACTGACTGATTCTGTGTTCTGTTTAAGGTCATGGCTCTGAGATTATTGATGGGGAAGAAGTGACGCCTCACTCACTGCCCTTCATGGCTCTGCTGAAGGACAAAACTCCCATCTGTGGAGGCATTCTGATCAGTCCAGTCTGGGTCCTGACTGCTGCCCACTGTGGAGAGTGAGAACAAGATGCTTTCATTTCAAAAATTGTTGAATCTCTGAATATTATTTTATATCATTTGTAATAACAGATATTTCTTTTTTTAGAGATGAGCTTGGATATAATGTTGTTGTTTTTTTTTTTTTTTGCAGCATCAAGGAAGTGTTGCTGGGGGTGCACTCCCTCGATCAAAAGGAAAAGGACTCCAGACAGGTGCAAAAGGTCAAGAGGTTTCCTCACCCCTGCTACGATGCGGATGATAAAGTCAACGACCTCATGTTGCTCAAGGTAAGATGACACTGCAGTAACCGGTGGTGAATTTATAGCCTTGATTAAGAAAATATTCAACATTCTGCACTGGAAAGATATTCAAGGGGACTCAAGGGAACAAGATGTCAAGCAACTGCTGACTAAAAATATTGGTAATGGAAAGTCATACAGCGACTTTCATGTCTGTGTTTTTAAGCCTATTGATTCTCACCAGTGATAAGCTGATCCTTTATCAGGCGGGTTTGTAGAGTGGTATATTATAACAATAACATTGCATGCATATGCTAAAATTGTGGCTATATTCTTATCGTACTTCTTGTTATACATTCTCACAAAGATTACTTTATTTTTTCTTTTTCTCTTGTTTTTACTTTTACACCTTTGTCATATTCTTACTGGTTTTTTAAAAAAAAAAATTTATTTAACCTTTATTTAACCAGCAAAGAAACTCACTGAGATTAAAAATATATTTTTCAAGAGTGTCCTGGCCAAGACAGGCAGCAACACATTAACAGAGTTTCACACAGACAACGAGCAGCCAAGCATTACAAAATACATTCGACATTAAAAGACACAAATAACAAATCCTCCTTTTTAATGTGCTTTACAAAAAAGCAACTTCTAATTAATAATTTTAACACTCAATGACATTTCTACTCTTACTGTCCAGTAAAAAAAAAAACTGAAATTAAGGTCAGCATGGAGGAAAGTAAAGCACATTTAGTGTTGGTGAAAACCTTTTTTCAAACAGTAAAAAGCTACCATAAGTACAGACTTAAGCAAGACTGGAGCAAGATGCAATATAATGAATACTTTCTCATTTCAGCTGAAGAAACCAGTGAAGAAAACCAAAACGGTGCAATGGCATGAGTTGCGTAACAACATTAAAGCCCCAACTGCCGGCACCAAATGCCTCGTGGCTGGATGGGGGTGGACAAAGAACAATGCCAAGAGGATGTCCAATGTTCTGATGGCCGTCAATGTGACCGTGATCGACAGAGAGAAGTGCAACTCGCCCAAATATTACAACCTCAAACCTTTTATCACCAGCAGCATGATATGTGCCGGCACAGACGGTAACAACAGCGCAGATACCTGTCAGGTAAGGATAGTAACAGCCTGTCAACACTATCTATAACTGCCATGCATGTGTCTTAAAACGACTTGTTTATTTCCTCTATAGGGGGATTCAGGAGGGCCAATATTGTGCAATGGACAGCTAATCGGAGTAACTTCTTTTGGAACAAAATGTGGCCTAAAGGAAAAGCCTGGAGTGTATGCCTTTCTCTCTGAAAAACATCTCAAATGGATCAACAAGACCATGAAGAAGTCTGACATATAATCAATTTATCTTGTTTTTCTCACCAAAGTTAACCAGTTAAGTTTCAGTTTGTGTAAAAGCAATGTTCAAGTAAAAAACTTTTGATGTCCCAGCTAATGGTTGTTGTTCTGGTGGATTATGCCGTAAATGTTTCCTGCCTTACAGAATTGCAGCTATATCAACACGAGAGAAAGATCACGCAATGACTCTGACCGGACCACAATAGACAAATTCTCACGGTGTATCTGAAGACCCCACACAGGAAATGTGCAAAATGTCACAGTGTTGCACTATAGCCTTTGTGTATTATACACACACACACGCACACACACCTGCTTCCAGTAAAGGAAATGCTGACACAGCTACGATGATGCAGGTTATTCTTCAGTTTCTATGTCTCTTTTAATTCTATCAAAGTTTTTCAATATGTGAGCTCAAGGGACCCATTTGTGTTTCTGTAATATTTACTCCCTACCTAAGACTTTTGTGTGTAACTTCTATTCAAAAACCTGTGATGTAGGACATACCATTTGCACTCTTACTCAAACTACACCACCAGGTGGTGCTCTTTGCTCTTCTTGTTGCTGCAGTCATTTACACAGAGATTAAACTCAACCTGAGATTCCATTATTTCATTCATTTAAAAATGACCAAAATTGACATTATTAGAAAAATGTAATTGATTGAATGTTGGGTTGTTTGTTTTAATCCAGCAGTTATACTTGCAATTCTCTACATGGGCTCCAAATTTAGAGTTATTCAATGAAATGGCACCAATTCTTCCTCACAATAAGACCTGACAGTACTACATACAAACACTGAGACCAAAACTGAAATGTTTACCACTTAAAAAAACATGTAACCATGCACAAGTGGTGTCCGTTCTCTTGGCTTGTGACCCATTTTTACTTGTTTTTCTTTTGTTGTAAAAATAATGTTAAGATGCCCTAAGAGGTCAAATATTGAATCTTTTCAAATGAAGAATAAATGTGTGTACCAGAAACATGTGTCCTAATCACCTAATCACCTTATAGCATTGTGGGGTTAAAAATTGCCTTTGTGTGTTCCTTTATTATCATCTGACGAACATTTTATGACTGGATGAAGCCAATTTTTCTACAACCTAAAGATGCATTTGGAGAATTGGCCAAAAATGAATATCCTACATATATGTAACATCTCTTTGTTTGCAACTTAGGCTTGAAACTTTTTCTCCTTTGTTTTAAAGGAATTCAAAACAAGTTATAGGCTAAATCTTTTCAAACTACTAGCTACGTTCTGTCTTCCTTAATATGTTGTTCAAATTGGAGCTACAAAACAACACAGCCATGCTCAGTGAGACATTTGTACAGTAGTGCTTTAAGCTAGAGGCAAACATATAGCAATTAAAAGTCAAATGCATTGATTTGACTAAATTTCATCAAGCACATACTACAGCTCTACAGAATGATAGAAATGTCATTACTTCTGTGAGTCATGGGATGGACAAATTAAAGTTTGAAATAATGAAACCACCAGGGGGAAAGGCCCTGATCCATTTAAAACATGTTGAGATATTACACTCAAACCCCAAAGTGTCAACAGCACGGCACTGGAAGATAAGTCATGTGATCACTAAGCAGGGACAATGATTGCCTTTTGATAATTTCACTGCAATGCATCCATTATTTGTTTGGATATTTCAGTCTTGACCAAACTGGTGTGCCAAATTATTTTGCCACAATAAAAGCATAGTTAGCAAACAAGAGTTTACCAACCTTTGATTTTGATGAGAACTCTGATTAGATAGTTAAAAACATTAGCAAAAGAAAAATTAACCTGACAACTACACCTGTCCCCTAATAAAGGTGTAGGGGATAAAGGTGTAACCCCGCCCAGGAAATACCAGCATGCCTTTATTTGAGCTCTCAGTGAATTGACCAGCTCTGCCTGTGTGTTTACTCTGTTTCCATGGTCACCCACAAAAACTTTCGCGCCCACCTTAGTGCCACCGAAACCATCAAAGCTCAACCATTGAAACACACCCTTATTAAGTGTCTCTTTTTAAGAAGATAAATATGGGAGTACTTATTAATGTTTTTGGTGTGTAAAAATAACTTTATCCCCCGAGGGGATCTCGGTCGCACTCAGAAACACGCTCAAACACAAACTCGAGAGTAAATATTTACCTGAGTTTGCATCACCGTTTGTGTGATGAAGGAGCTACCCACCTGGCCTCGCCTTTTCCTTCTCTAGTGACGCAACTCAACACACACACACACACACACACACACACACACAAACAAAGAGAAACTTTCTGTTATAAAGGTGACTGGGAACTGTTTTATGGCTGGTGAGTCACATCTTTATATGTAATTTATTTACGTGCATGTGAAACCCAAATGCTGTTATCAAGAGAGGTATCACTCTACGATTTGGCCCAGCAACGTAACAAGTTAATATGAATAATCTGTGTTGTATAATAAGTGTTAAATTATCATTTTACAACTTCTCTCATGATCAGCAATCATAAAGAACTATGTTGGTTAACTGCTTATGTTAGCATTTAACCAGCACTCCCCTTTGTGTTACAATGTAAGACTGGAAAAACACAAATTCCTAGCTAACTGAAAATTAATCTGGCTAACTGTAATATTAGTTAGGCGAAGGCTAAATGCTAATGTTAGCTGATGTGAATAAGCTTCTGATATCTACCTGTTATTTGGACGAAATGTCTCTCGAAATTGAGACCATTATCATTCAAGGATAAGTTCAGGGCAAAAATTGTGGGGGGTGGTCTTTGTTTACATTTTCTTAACCCTCACTGAACTCAAAGTTGGGCAGTCATTTAGACAATCATTTCCAGAAGTTCTGAAGTATATCAAATATGTCCACATGTATAGAAAAAGAAGGTAGTTGGGGCGCTGGTGGCGCAGTGGTTAGTGCGCGCGTCCCATGTATGGAGGCTGCAGTCCTCAATGTGGGTGCCCAGGTTCAAATCAACCTGTGGCTCCTTTCCCGCATGTCAATCCCCACTCTCTCTCCCTGATTTCCGTCTCTGTCCACTGTCCTATCTCTCCATCAAAAGGCACAAAAGCCCAAATAATAAATCTTTAAAAAAAAGAAAAAGGAGGTAGTTAAACAGACCACAGACATCAGCAGACTGAGGAAGAAGATAGGCCGGCACACAGTTAAGACCTCTTGTCGAAACGTTGTGATCATGATGAATTAAAACTTTTTGTGGCATTTCAGGAGGTTTGTGGGCCTATCTTCTTCCTCAGTCTACCAAGACTATTCAATTCAATTCAATTTATTTTATATAGCGTCAACTCATAACAAGTGTTATCTCAAGACACTTTACAAAAAGCAGGTAAAATACCTTACTCTTTGTCTGTTAACATTACAAAAGAGCAGGTAAAAGACCTTACTCATTGTTATGTTACAAAAAGCAGGTAAAAGACCTTACTTATTGCTATATTACAAAGATCCGGCCTATCCATCATGAGCACTTTAGCAAAGCAGCAAAAGTTACAGTGGTAAGAAAAAACTGCCTTATTAAAAGGCAGAAATCCTCGGCCGGATCCCCGGCTCATGACGAAACAACCTTCACAGGCCTAGACTGCGCTGGGGTTGGAAAGGGATAGGGGAAGAGATGGGATAAGATACAGGAAGAGGGATAGGGAGCAAGGGGGTGGGGGGAGGCAGACCGTCCATCAACAATCCGGTGGGGGGGGGTTGTTCTGGCAGGCCGTCAACCAACGATCTTGAGGAGCCTAAGAGAGTTCAAGAGCTCTCAGGAAAGTAGGTGGTTAGTGACTGAGATTTACAGATAGATACATGCAGTAATATGATGTACTGTATATGCAGAGAGAGAGAGAGAGAGAGAGAGAGAGAGAGAGAGAGAGGAGCTCAAGGTGCCAGTTCCCCGGTAGTCTAAGCCTATAGCAGCATAACTAAGAGCTGGTCTACACCAGCACCAGCACTAACTATAAGATTTATCAAAAAGGAAAGTTTTAAGTCTATTCTTAAAAATACAGACTGTGTCTGCCTCCCGGACCCCGGCTGGAAGGCGGTTCCAGAGGAGAGGAGCCCGATAACTGAAGGCTTTACCCCCCATAGTACACTTGGAGACTGTAGGTACCACCAGCAGGCCTGCACTCCGGGACCGCAACGCTCTCGAGGGACAGTACGGCACTAGTAGCTCCTTCAGGTAGGATGGTGCCTGGCCATTTAGCGCTTTGTAGGTGAGAAAAAGGATCTTGAATTCTATTCTAGACTGTATAGGGAGCCAGTGCAGAGAAGCCAGGACAGGAGTGATGTGGTCCCATTTCCTGGTTCTGGTCAGTACATGAGCTGCAGCGTTCTGGACTAGTTGAAGAGTCTTTAGAGACTTACCAGAGCACCCTGACAAAAGAGAATTACAATAATCCAGTCTGGAGGTAACAAATGCATGAACTAGTTTTTCTGCATCATTTTGCGACAGGATATTCCTGATCTTGGATATATTACGGAGGTGAAAATAGGCTGTTCTTGAAACTTGACTGATGTGAGAGCTAAAAGACATATCTTGATCAAAAAGAACTCCTAGATTCCTAACAGTGGTGCTAGATGCCAGGCTGATGTCATTAAGGACAGTCAAATCACTAGAAAAAGTCTCTCTGAGGTTCTTAGGGCCTAGCACAATAACTTCAGTCTTGTCTGAGTTAAGTAGCAAAACATTTCTGGTCATCCAGGTCCTAACGTCCTTAAGGCACGTTTCTAGCTGACATAACTGACTGGTGCCATCGGGCTTCATTGATACATAAAGCTGAGTATCATCTGCATAACAATGAAACTGTATGGAGTGTTTCCTCATAATATTTCCCAGAGGAAGCATATATAATGTAAAGAGAATTGGCCCAAGCACTGAACCTTGTGGGACTCCATGGCAAACTTTAGTGTGCATAGAGGACTCATTATTAACATGTACAAACTGAGATCGGTCTGATAAGTAGGATTCAAACCAACTTAGAGCAGTCCCTGTAATTCCAAGCAAATGCTCCAGTCTGTACAACAGGATCCGATGGTCAATGGTGTCAAAAGCAGCACTAAGATCTAACAGGACGAGCACAGACAGAAGTCCCCTGTCTGAGGCTAGCAGTAGATCGTTTGTAACTCTAACTAGTGCAGTCTCAGTGCTATGGTGGACTCTAAATCCTGACTGAAACTCCTCAAATAAACTGTTGTCATGGAGAAAGTCACACAGCTGTTTAGCTACCACCTTCTCCAGGATCTTCGAGAAAAAAGGAAGGTTGGATATAGGCCTATAGTTAGCTAGAGTTCCTGAATCTAGAGTAGGTTTTTTAAGTAGAGGTTTGATTACCGCTACTTTAAATGCCTGGGGTACATAGCCTGCCAGTAGAGACGAATTGATCATATCTAATATAGAGTTGCTAACTAAGGGAAAAACTTCCTTAAACAGCTTGGTTGGGATTGGGTCCAAAATACAGGTTGACGGTTTCGACGCAGAAAAAATGGGATATAGCTCTGAAAGGTTGATTGGAGAAAAACAGTCGAGACTAATATCTGGTCCTGGAACTGTCTCTGCCATATCAGACGTATCCGCACCAGGTAAGGGCAGGAAGTTACCAATTTTGTCTCTGATGTCTAAAACTTTGTTGTTGAAAAAGCTCAGGAAATCATTACTGCTGAGGGCTAAAGGAATACAAGGCTCAATGGAGCCATGACTCTCTGTCAGCCTGGCTACAGTGCTGAAAAGGTATCTAGGATTGCCTTTGTTTTCCTCAATTAGAGAGGAGTAGTAGGCAGCTTGGGCGTGACGTAGAGCCTTCATATATCTTCTATGACTATCCTGCCAGAAAAAACGAGATTCTACCGTTTTGGTCGAGCGCCATATTCTTTCAAAATTCCGCGACGATTGTTTTAGAGTACGGGTTTCTGAGTTGAACCATGGAGCTATTCTCCGCCGCTTGACAACCTTCTGTTTCAGGGGAGCAATCGAATCCAGAGTAACTCTCAGCGAATCCACTGCACTATCAACAAACTGATCTAGCTGAGAGGGACTAAAGCTATTATAAGGGTTTCCAACTGGGTTGAAACACGGTACTGAATCAAAAACAGCTGAAATGGCTTCCTTAAATCTAGCAACAGCACTATCCGACAAACTTCTAGAGAGCACACCTCTTCCAGGCAGAGGTAATTCTGGTAGGATAAAATCGAATGTAATAAAAAAAATGGTCTGATAGCAGAGGATTTTCTAGGAAAACTGTAAGGTTATGGATTTCAATTCCATAAGCTAAAACAAGATCCAGGGTGTGGTTAAAACGATGAGTAGGTTCGTTTACACCCTGGGTGAAACCAATAGAGTCTAATAGTGACATGAAAGCTGTGCTCAGGCTATCATTATCAACATCCACATGGATACTGAAGTCACCAACTACTATACAATCTAATCACTACATTTACATTAACAACCCATAATATTTGCATTCTCTCGTGATGCAAACTCATTTGGATTTGTGTATACATGTTAACTTCAAAAGGAGTGATGACTTCATAAATACTGTGCGTAGATCATAAACTGTAAGTCATACCTGTCAGATCTGTTTATTATGTCACTCAAGGAAAAAGGTGAAGTGAGGCGAACGTCTTACCTCCGATCTGTAGTGCTTTGTAAAAGTCAGCCTTAACACTATTTGGCAACTCTTATTAAAATGTCAACATGGAAGTTAAAATTAAGTTATATTTTTCTGTTATGGTCTTATTCTAGGTGCGTAGGGCGACAAACTATTACTTGAAAAGAAAAAAAAAAGAAAAACAAATCCTGCACATTACTCTTGCAAAGTATCACCAATTTATTAGAAAAATCACAACGTTTCAGTCCCTCTGAACCTTTGTCAACATCTAATTGGACCTCATAACTTGAGTGTAGGACTTATATCAATGTATGATGTTTGCATTCTTGTGCGAATGACTACAAATATGCTGCTACTACTATTACTACTACTATTATTGTTAACAGTTATGTATCTCTGTATTTTGAAGTGAACCTTTTCTTTTAATGTGGCCTTCTAGTTTTATTTGAAACAAGAAAAAGGGTAAATAAATGGTTTGCCAAAACTAAAAGGGAAGCATCAGTAGCAACATAAAAGGCTGCAGGGATAAGAAATGTGGTGGAGCCTGCCAAGGTAAGGAGCGTCCAAGAAAAGCTTCTGATTCTATAATGTTCAAAAGAAGAAAGCAATTGATGCCAAAGACAAAATAAGACAATATCAGCTTTTCCTTGTTGGATTATGCAAACTGCCCTTGGACAGCTTTGTCTTTGAAAAATGTGAGTGTGGCTTTGCAGCTCTTACTCTTACATTATCATCTCCCCTCTCTGCACCTTTTTCTGAGAACATCCTTGGTCCATCTGCTTTGTGTATTATGTAATGTAAAGGCATGCGTCACCGGCTTGTGTGTTGACAGTGTGTTATTACTGCCACAAGGTGAGGATACAAGTTCTGCACTGCACTCCAACCAGCCTGTGCCTCCCTGTGTTTACGTAAAACTGTGTTGCTGTCTTTGTGCTCAGGCTATTCTGGGCTCCTTTGTCCTGAACCTTTCAATTATGTTCACGTCATGTTTTTATTTGTGTTTGGAGATAATGCCAAGTTACCTGGACATTTGCAAAACAAATCAGACAAGACATGATCCCCTTTTTTTAAATTCCCAGTGCAAAATTCTTCAACACTCTACGCTTTCTACACATTTACAAACCTTTGGAGACACTCCATTTATATTCAAGTAAAACATAGTAGAACATTGAGTCTGAATGTGTAGTGGAATAATAGTGTACAGTAAAAGTCTTTGAGCATTTTTTAAAATAATAATAATAATAATATAAATAATAATTTCCTAGTTTACTCTTATTTTCAATTCTCTGAATTCCTCAGAGATGTCAAAAGTTTTTCAGCCTCTGTGGTGGTTTCTTTATCTTCTGAATCTGTGTGAGCGGGCTGCTGAGGCATTAATGGCATCCAAAGATGAGCCAAGGACGAGATGCTTCACACTTTTTCATAACACTGAGACACTTTATTGGTGAATGGTGATCAAGTTCCATCCCATTTCCAGAGCGGGATGGAGAGCGTTTGTCTGACCTATAACAGCAGTGCAATAAATAAAACAGAACCTACAGAACGAAAATAACAGACATCATAACAGCAACGCAACATAAAAACTCTCAAAGTTTTTAGCAATAAATAATCACACTTAATAAATTACATTCTAACAAGTTCTGACAATGTTTTTTTGTTCAATATGAAGGATCTAATAAAGCAGTCGATTCAATCTACTTCTTTCTCAGATCTTCAGACTCCTTTGATCTGCATCGTCTTTGGATCTTGCAGCCAGCTGGGGAAAAAAAAAGATGGAGACAAATTAAAAGTCAATCAATATGTAAAAAAAAAAAAAAAGATGGAGACAAAAATACAATATTTTTCTAACAGGGAAAATCAGGTTGTGAGAAATCTACCATGCAACAGATTAGGTACAATGAAGTTATTTAGACAATCTGACCTTGTAGTACATTTACATAAATATTTTTACATGCACAAAAAACACTTTTGTTTGTTACAAAGTTAATCCACTGAGTGTTTGTACATCACAGTATTTTCATTCATTATAGGATTTATTTTCAGTAAGTCTAATGGAATAATTTTCTATTTCTCCATTGTCTGCATTCGTCAGTTTTCAGACCGACTTCCAACGCTGACTCCTTTTTGTACATGCCGGGGTTGGATTCATTGAAACATTTTGGAAATGTTCCCTTTTTAATCCATTGATGAAGTAGTTAAAAATTTGAAAACACTATTGCCTTGTTCAGAATCTATCTAACTGTCACTGCTTGGATGAGTACAAGCTCCTCATTTCTGATTGGATAAATGGCCAAATTTACCAAAATTAAATTTGTAAAACAAAAATGTAATCCAAAAGCACAAGGATAACTTTTTTAAGGACATAAAAATTAAGCATAATTTATTCAGTCATGTAATCACTGTAGAGAACTGTGTGGGTGTTTTGTTTAAGTTAAGTTCTTACAGTAATTACATGAATATTTACTGTATGTGTGAGCCAGACGTGCTTTGTAATATTTGTGACACTATGCATTATGCAAGCTATGAGAAGAATGCTGCAAGGCCACATTGTCCGTTTCGGGGGGGGGGGGGGGGGGGATTCCATGTGTCTACAAACGTAGAGGGTGAAGCGTTGTGCGTGTGAGGCTCAGTGAGATCTGACCACATGTAAGTACAGTGGCTACTCTTACAACAAGGTCATCACGTGCACAGTCAGTGTGTCAGAACTGTTATTGTGTGGACACACAGGTGAATGTGTACAGTGTGGTTTTTCTTTACTCTGGTATGCAGTGTAGAGATGGGACGGGCCAAAACAGCCTCTTGTTAATCCAGGCTAATTCCTCTATAGCGGGGATTCCTCTTTGTGTGATGCAACTTGCTTCAATCAAGAACAACAACAACTAACGGGCTACTCTACCACTCGCTGAGCCCTTCCTTCCTGTTGGGTTTAAAGCTCACGTGAGTAGAGGCCAGTAACCACCCTGGGATTAAGCAAGATTTTTTTGTAATCAGACATCATTCAAATATGTGCCACCTGAAATACATCTATGCCTGATGCAAGTACGTCTTACAGCATCACAGTTTTACTTGCACACATTGTATTAAGCCATCATTGTTGAAGGTCTGGAGTTAGACCCCGCCCCTTTTTTGCTACTGTTGCTTTGGCTATCTACCTATCCTTTCCAGAACTTTGATTTGGCAGTTAAAAATAACAAGTGGCAAAGTAACTACATAACTTATTTATTTATTTATTTCGGGTTATCCTGCTTAGCCCCTTAGCTAGCATACTTTGACAAGCAGAACTGTGGTTTGATTTGTAATTTTTAAAAGTAAAAAAAGTAACTTTTAACTTTTTTTTTTTTAACAAAGATTTTTTTAGGGACAGGACTTACTGACGTGTTTGCCTAATGAAGCACTACCTAATTAAGCGCACTCTAAAAGTATGTGTTAACGTTTAGGGGCACGGTGTTCTTTAGGAATGGCATGGCACCACATTTTTTGTCGTGATGTGAACGCAAAGAAGGCAGTACAGTGACTGCGAATTTTTGAATTTAAGTAGGTCAAATTCTCAGCAACACCTACCTCATTGTAACCCGATGCCTTCACACCACAACGTCAGCCATCGGTTTCTGTAGCTTCTCCTGCTCAGACCCAGTTCCCAGGTAGGATGCCAGGAAGTTTTTATGCGACCTGTAACTATAAAAGACATTCAACATGAGCCGTATGAAAGACAACTGAAGAACTCATTATTATCAGATGATATGGCAGTCAAGTTGTTTTGAAAGGCTGGATTGCTGGCTTTGTTTCATGGCTTTGATCCTGTCTAGACAAATGCAACTCAAGATGTGTTTTTTGTTGTGTTTTGGCAGAAATACTGTCCTTCGAGTGGAGTGATTATCAAAATGAACCCAGTGTTCACATTACTTTGGATGTGAAATCAAACTTGGAGATCGTTTCGCTCTCACAGTAATTAGTTTTACTTTGGCTGACTGTGGCTGTAAAGTTTAATTACACTGCTGCGGGGTATTGGACTACTGACTTTGTCCCACTTTCCAACAAAAGCTGAGATTCAGTGACATATTGATAAGGAACCGTGAATATATTCAGCGAAAGACTTCACCATGAAAGTAACTTAAAGATTGTTAATTGAAAGGAAGCAGAAGTAATACAACATATTATTAAAGGGGCTGTATGTAACTTTTTACATGTATAAATCGTTTTTTATCGCCCAGTATTAAGTATTAAGTATTAGTATATTAGTATTAATAAGCGAACGGTTAACTGATGTGAAAAAGTAGATGTTCGCTGTCTATCTGTGTTGCCTGTATAAAAAGTTTCCCGGGTCGTATTTTCCGCGAAAGCTCCAGGAAGTGACATTTTATGCACGTTCTCAACGTCCTCCTCACTCCGTTCCACTTACAGAGATCAACAGTACAAACTCATCACACACTCCCTGTCTTCACCTCCACAGCCAGAGGCCGCCTTCCACACACTTCTATCCGCCCTAAGAGCTCTATCCAGTGTTTCACGTCCGATGATGATGCTCGTTTGAGTACGTACGAGCACGTATGACGAGCACGCGAGGGAGAGCGAGCAACAGGTAACTGGTGCAGTTCGCCTAACGGCCATGCGGTATCACTACAAACGCAGTATTTTTGAAAGTTACATATGGCCCCTTTAATGTGACGTAATGGTGAAGTTGTAGACTAGACTATGACAAAACCAGGAATGAGATGTAAAAGCTATAAAACTACAAGCAGTGATATGAAGGCGGTGAGCAATGCTGATACATTATGAGCGTGTTTGGGCGTGATGTTTGAACGCCAAGAAGTGTTCCTTGGTAGGATATGGGAATTGTGATGAGGGTTCTGATTCAGCAGGGTGTGGATGGTTTCCCTCATGTTTGTTGGCTCAAAGCTTTAATAATCTTTCAGACATAATAGAGAGGGCTTTGTACCACTGAGCATTAGGATTAGTCTTCTCTAGTTTCAGATACAATTATACAAAAGTGTAATAGACAGGCAGGTCACACTGATAAACAATAAAGCTTTAATATACCAGGGATCCTTTACCTCCACACAGCATGGATTTATGAGGTTTTGTTTTGGCTTTTTTTGGAAAAATTTGACACTCTTACTAACTTCTAATTCATCAAGCTAACAATTATTATGATATTTACGATCCATATTTCTTCACAGTTGCTGGTGACAGTTGATATATACAAAAGTTTCTCTTGTTGCTCTTTTTCTATATTAATGAGTGCTGATAAGTTGGAAACATTTTACTACCTCTGTAATAAATTAGTGCGAGATTAGTCGAGGAAAAATAGAAATGTATAAACCACTTTTAGTACAAGATCCCTCACTGGCTTCTCAACAAATAGCCACATACTGTATGTTCATGTCTGAAGGCTTTTCATGCAGCTTTAAAATCCATTAGTTTTTCTTGATAAGTGTGCATACTTACTGAGCACAGGTCATGAGCAGGATGGCCGTGCAGCTGATGACTGACAGGATTACAGCAATGATCACTAAAACTGTCTGCACCAGCTCAGTGTTGTTTGGGGGGGTTTGGAACTTGGTCTTCAGAGTGTAGATCCCACAGCGCTCTCCGTCATAATCCTTCATACATCTGCAGAGTCAAGATAGTAAATTTTAAATGTTTGGATGTTTAAAAAGGGGGGGGTGGGGGTGCATACAATCAAATTTACCCAATCTAGCAAAATCCTCATATTTCCATTCATGAATCTCAGAACACCTCATGAAAATGAATCCTGACGTCGTACTCACATGCACACTGGCTCGTGCAGGCCCTCGATGTACTTGCAGTAACCATGAATGCAGTAGTCCTGGTGGGTGGAGGTGCAGGGGTCCTCTGTGGTGCTGTGAGTCAGTGTGTGAGTTGATGTGTGTCCGCTCGTGGAGAACCTGTGCTCAGGATTAAAAGGAGTTGTGCTTTTGTTCCTGAGCCTGCTCTTCTTCTTGCCTTTGCCTTTCCTTTTCTTCTTGTCATCTTTACTGGGATGTAATTCTGTAACAGGAGGAAAAACAAGTCTTACTGGATTTGAACGGTTTTGTAGCATTTAAGTTTAAACTTCAACAGAGTTTCTAGGCTAAAGGTTAAGCTAAGACTAACGATAGTTTTTAGATTTCTATCTTTATTTAAACTTTGAAAAAAAGGTGAAGGTGTCAAAGGTTGTTGTACCAGGAAGGCTGAAATTTCCGTCGTCTCCTCCTGACAGTTCTTCATCTATATCCAGCTCTTCATCATAGCTCATCGAACTCAGGAGGCCCTCCCCGGAGGCTGGACCCCCTGTCACTCCGGCTAGTACAGTGGTCAACTTGGCCTCAGATCCCTGAGCGCCAGGAGCTCTGTAGACTACTGTAAACCCAAGAAAATAAAGAATAGGGAGTAAGATCTGAGAAAAATATTGAGATGGTGAAACTAATTCTTTGAAGAGCAATCGGGTCAAAGTTCATGTAGTTCGTGCAGTCAGATGCTTTCACTTTATTTCAACTGAAAACATAAGGACATAGAAACCAAACCAAATCAGAAAAAAAGTTAAAGTTATCCAATAAGATTTCTTTTAGGATAATGGGAAAATAGGAATATGCAACATTGGCAGATAGATATAAAAATCTATCCCAAGCTTGCTTTGTTACTTATCGGGAAACCTTGATCCATTTACTTCTGACTCATCCAATCATCTTTAAACATTCAGAGCAATTGGGGCCTTTAAACTGGCCACCAACGGTATTAGTACTGAAACAGGAACAACCAGTCGCCATCCAGAACCGTGTCGCATATGAATGCATCGTTCTCACCATACTAGAACAATGATGAATGAGCCTCAGTCATTAAACATTTCAAATATGTTGTGACCTTTTGCAGTGTCTGGTGCTGTACAGTGAGCAAACTGGTAATACTTATGTCTATTGATAGATTTGAATAGCCAGAGGTGCCGCACTTCTGTATACCTTTCTCCCGCATAACATGTCCTCACAAGCAGAGACATTTCCTTTTTTCTTTGACCCTCTTCCTGTCCTCATACCTTTTTACATTGTTCTTATTTAATTGCTTTACACTCTCTGCACACACACACACACACACACACACACGCACATACAAACATACACACAAAAGAACAAGTCCAGACTTACCGAAGCACAGGAGACAGGTGAGGACGAGAGTGTTCATATCCCAGGAAGACAGAGTTGTGTGTATGACAGTCCTGTGCTGATCTGTGTGTGTACGAGTGTGTCAGAGTGTGTGTTTGTCCGCTGCTGATAGAAGTTGTGCTTTGCTCTCTTAACCTCCTCTGGGTGCAGCTTTTATAGCCCAACGCCTGCCTCTCAACTCCAAGGAAAAAGGAGGGTGTGTGTGCGTGTGTGTGTGCGTGTGCGTGCGTGCGTGTGTGTGTTTTTTTATGTTTAGATGTTAGGATTCATGTAATAAAGGTGTGTACGTGTGTGTGTGTCTGTGGAGCTTATGTCTTTGCCTAATGATTAATCAGCCGCGGGCTACACATTTTGCACCTAATGTTCTCACTCATGACGAAGCTTCTGTCTGGCAAGTTTAAAACACTTTTTATGTATTCTGACTTGTTTCTCTACGACATTAAAAAACACGTAGAAACATTTGTTCCTGACTCTCAAAGTGTTATCGCTTCCGTAAGTTTGCCACTTAAGACATTTCTACATAACTCACACACATTCACAAACGTAGATATACTTACACACTCACCACAATGTTACCAGAAAAATCTTTAAACTCTTTATTGTCAGTTATTCAGAAAATAAAAAATATATATTTAGTGGGAATGCTGTGGTTTCCACATTTCTTGGATCCCAGACCTGAAAATCACATCAACGCATTAGGCCATTTGTCCTCTTGCTCACAAAATCATAATTTAGCCACAAACTCTTAATTTAAGCCCTTGAAATGAGCACCCAATAGGGAGACGTTTTCCCCTTTTCCCTTTTTCCTCATTGTCTGACTGCATTTATACAGTCTTTATGCAGTATCGTCTACTTGTTCTATCACTTCTACTACTGTTTCTTCTTCTACTACTTTTACTTCTTCTGGTTCTTTCTTCTTTACTTCTTGTTCTTCTGCTTTTACTACTTTTACTTGTTCTGGTTCTGGTTCTCCTGCTTTTACTTATTGTTCTTCTGCTTTTACTACTTTTACTTCTTCTGGTTCTGGTTCTCCTGCTTTTACTTCTTGTTCTTCTGCTTTTACTACTTTTACTTGTTCTGGTTCTGGTTCTCCTGCTTTTACTTCTTCTGCTTTTACTACTTTTACTTCTTCTGGTTCTGGTTCTCCTGCTTTTACTTCTTGTTCTTCTGCTTTTACTACTTTTCTTCTTCTACTTCTTATTCTTCTGATTTTCCTACTTTTTCTTCTACTACTACTCTTCTTTTACTTTTTCCTCTTCTTCTATATCTTCTAATTTTTCTTCATCTTCTACTATTCCTTCAGCTGTTTCTGCTGATTCTTCATTCATCAGTGTTTTGCAAAACATTTCAGCGGTCAGCATTCCCACGCATTTTCCGCAGGTAATTGCAAAATGTCTAGTTGTTTAATTCATTGGGGTTTTTTTTTCACAAGGTGTCCTGGATCAATTTAGAGAAGTTGCACTGCAACAATGATAATCACACCGACACTGTATTTGTAATGAGTTGAGGCAGAACTTTATTCGAGGCAGATGGTCAACAGAGGTTTACTACAGGACCATAAACAAAATCATAAAATGTTTTCTATTATGGTGTTTCTATGATGGTGTTTCTATGATGACATTTATATGAAATAAAAGTGTAAAAGCATAAGGCTCTGAAGTTCACTTTAGATTTTGATAGTGCAAATGCCCTTATGAAACACATTTTACCTCCCATTTCCACCCATGTCATCATTTTAACTTCAAATTTATTGAAAAAAAAAAACTTAACTTAATTAACTTTCATCCATTTTACTAAAAGTTCCCCCCGTTGGTCACAGATGTAGGTTGAGTTATCTTCTTTTGTCTTCTTTTCATATTTTAAAAGATTTAAAAAGAAAAAGAGAGAGGGTATGTCATGGGGTTCAATTGATATGTTAAATGGCCACTAAAGTAATATTCATTGACAGATGAAGAATGTCTTTCCATTACTTAATGTCTCCTCCAATCAGGAGGATTTATCTAGTCTGTATGTTGGGAAGACAACGCTCATTTAGACATTTTTAAAAATTCAGTAATCCTCCGTCAATACATTGAAGCAACAAGCCTGTGTTGAAATGTTGGAATTTAACATTGTGATACTGATGTTTAAGGTAAGAGGTTAAATTCAAAAGTTTCAAGAAATAACATGTAAGTTATGAAAACTTCAACACAATGTTTGACTTTAAGTCTCTTTCCATGCACCTCTGCTTAAAGAAACATGTTGAGAAGACGATCTAAAGTAAGCAGTGTTAGATTATGAACATGAGGTCGCAAATTCACCTCTGTATTTTTCAGTTTTTTCTTATAACATGAATCCTTAAAAAAAACCTTTAAATGGTTCATTCAGAATTATACATGTTGGTAAGCTTTGTTGGTTTATCTATTTTTATTTAGTCCCTGAATATAATCCAGCTCTTCTGTTATCTTATATCAATATTTCTTGAATGTTTCATTGTTACATCTGGTTGTCTCTCTGCGTCTGAGCTGTCATACAGTTGGATTCAGTGATGCCCAGTGTTACTATTTCTGTACGCTAACTACAAAGAGACCTTAATGCTTGGGTGGGGATGCTGCAGAGGAGGGTGTGTTGGGTATGTTGTTGTGTCTGTACACAGAAGCGATCCCATAGTTCGTTCCCCGGTGGAATCCCGTAGAAACCTGCGAGGAATGCAGGGAACTCCTCCATGTTATTTTCCTTGACCTCAACAGCGGCTCGAAACTCCAGACACCTTTTTGTTTAGAATGGCTGAGGAATGAGATCTTTTGGATTAGGTGTAGCAGCACTGTGAATAGGTGATAGGTGTGGAAAGTCTGACACAAACACAAGCCTGGAAAGAAGCACCTAACAGCATGAAAACTTTGAGACACAAATATAGCGGTCTCTATTTGGATAAAACTTCGAAACAAAAGTAGCTATGACGATTAAGCTTTTGCCCTCAAAAAAGGGATTGTTGTCCACTTTAAGCACAACCTGAGTCAAGTGTGCTGACACTCCTGAAAACACAATATGATTGTATACAAACAGTCACCAAGGTCATACTGAACACTTGGTGCTTTATAGCGCTGCAGTGATTTGGCTGGTAATATATTCATTGCACCCAGGAAGAATAAATGCTAACTTTTTGATCTTTTTTTTAGTTGTTTCAGTCTGTTTTCAAGCAAAAATGTCTAATATTTGCTTGTTCTAACCTCTTAAATGTCAGGATTTAATACTTTTAGTTTTCTATTATAATTGTAAATGAAGAGTTTATGGGTTGTGGTTTGCTGGCTGGACAAAAGAAGCAATCTGAAGAATTGCATCAATGATTTGTCACAATGTTTGACATTAAATAGATCTAACTGAAATTAATCAGCAGCTATATCCAATTTTAAAATGCCATCTAAAGTAAAATATCTGAAGTTATTTTTCTGGTTTCTGGTTTATTTCTTGTTGTGTAGGGCCTCTAAGGTTTTCCTCAGTTGTAGCATCTGGTCTTAATGCCAGTGAGGTGACAGCTGTATTGACTCCCAAAGAAAGCAATTTGTGTTCATCTTAATGAGATCAACAAGCTGGTGTTTAACTGGTTGAACATCTTAGTTTTGCTTAAAATTATGTTATGGTTAAAATAGGAAGTAAGCACCAAGTGAAGCTTAGGCAGATCGTTGTCAAAAACCTCAACTTGAAAATGATGAAGGTGCTAAACTATTGAAGGAGACCCAAATGAAATACGAACAGTTGTCATGGCATTTTCATCAAACCATATGAACATTATTCTGATGATGAAGTAACAAAGTAAAGGAGATCAGAGTCATCCTCTAGAAACTCAAACAAAAGTTTGTGAATATTCATAAAGAAGATGTTGGGATATATTTGGACTAACTGGATCTTTTGACCTGCTGGTGGCGCGAGTATAAAAGCCACGGTATCTTCTAAAAAGTTATGAGGAATCCTCTTCTGAGGATCATGAATATCAGCACCAAATTTTGTTCCAATCCAACTTATAACTGTTGAGAGTGTTGGATCAACCAATCGACCTACATCACCATTAGAGCCATGCTGCTCGCGTGGCTAACAAAGATACAGTGAAAACACAACATGAGTCAACATTGTGATGCAAAACATATGTGTACATGGCACATGTGGAATTTCATGTGTTTTGTTACAGACACGAAAGGATGAAGCCTGGGGCTTCCACCATGCTCTCTACCTGCTCGTGTTTATGCAATAATGAGGTAACAGATTAGTTACACAGATTAGAGCAGCATTTCCTAAATGTAGAACAAAATGAACTCCGCTGAATGGGTGTGTGTGTGTGTGTGTGTGTGTGTGTGTGTGTGTGTGTGTGTGTGTGTGCGTGTGTGTGTGTGTGTGTGTGTGTGTGTTGTGTGTGTGTGCATGCTAATGTGTTTTTAAGTATTGTCTAAAACAGTGCAGTGTCTGCAGGTGGGTTAATGTTTACATGTAATCACTGCCGGTCATTAGAAGAACACTATTAAAGAACACATTATAAGGCTTCAGTTCGCTGTTAAAACGACTCATTGACTCTAATGAGGGTACAAAAAGTAAAATGGAGCTATTGTTTAACTTGACACCGGACACAGCATGAGCATTACTAAGCGCCATATTGTGACCTTGCAATCTAAATAACTATGTTTGTCTTGGTTTATAAAATCAAAAGAACAACAGTTTAGACATCACTTTATTATATTTATTTCATTTCACAGGTAACAGTTTCGATACAAGGCATGTGCAGTAAGTTTATTTTACAGTAAATAACTGTTAACCATCACATGGCACAGAGATACACAGACACACACAGAATCTTACAACCATCCTTACATACCAAATATGATTAAAGTCTTGTCGAGTTTGCATGCATATAAAGCTCTGTATGTGTTGACACAAAATACAGATTCTGCAGCCGTTGGTATGTATTATTTGAGGGGCGCAGATGGCCTAGCAGTTAGGATGCATTCTATATAGGGAGACTATAGTCCTCCAAGTGGGTGGCCAAGGTGAAACAAATCTCGAGACAAAAAGGAAAGTTTGAGAATTCCTGAGATTTTTGCCTGTAAAATTACTTGTTTGTAAACCCTATACATGTGTTATTAAGATAACATTTAGTGGCAAACAATAGGAGTTAACAATAGTGAGCAAATGCACCAAGGTAACTTACAAACAAACACTTGTTTTCTTTTATAAGAGTACAAGATTCAAGATTGAATTTGGATGCACTTAGGTTTGAGGTCTGATAGTTACTGCTACCATCATGTGGAAGTAAATTATATTATTATTCTAAAGTTAACATGTTAGAGTCTAATGTACTTAAAAGGTTCAGTGGCCTGGCTGACAGGTTTAGAAGATGTAAAGATCTATTGTAAAGCTTAATATTTCCTTTTATTAACATTTGATTGATTAAAACAGGAAAAGCATAAAGTGAGCATAAACCGTCATCAAGCCAGCACACTGTGAATGAAACACAAAACGTGTTTGGAAGTAATTAGTTACAATGTCCACTATGATCAGGCTGTTAAAGGCCTTTGGATTCATGAAGCTGGCCCTCAACTTATCAAGTAAAGCTTTAACTAAAAGATCCAGTTTCTGACAAAACACGGTGACTCACTGTTGTTGACTCTGTAATGCTACTATAGTATATTTGTTGTAAACATAGATACTAATACAATAAGAAACTTTACACTAAAATTGTTGTACTGGAATGTTTTTACAGATCTGAGAGTCAGCCTTTAAATGAAGGGAGAACAATGTGACTGTTTGAAATGTATGATCTTTAATATACTTTTTTGTTTCCTTTAACAAACTAAACTTTGCATCACATGCAGACAAAAATGTGAAAACTGTATAAAAAAAAAAACTGAGGAATGTAAAGACTTTGACTCACGTGCCCTTCAGAGCACAGACATGTTTTAAAATAGACAGACTTAAATAAAACGTCAAATAAATTCATACAGAATGAGATATTCGAGGAGTAACAGATTCCAGTGTAGACATTATCAATAAATTATCAACAATAACTTTTTTTTCTGACTAAAAAAATGTCTAACCATGCACCAGATGCATTGCTCTTAATGTTTACACACCTGTCCAGGTGGGCTTTTAGAAATACCAGACAGAAATAAAGACAAATAAAACAAGAGAAGATATTCAAAACAGTTCAGATATAAATACAGTGCAGTTATGAATGCAAAAAACGGATAAAATACAATTACAAAAAGAAGGCAGTAAAAATATACTACAGCACTTATGTCTGTAATGACTATTTTCTATTTCCATAATAGCTACAAATATATATATTTGTAATTATCAAATTTACGCCAATCATTGTTAGCCCTTTTGCTCATCTGTGGCATTTCTGTGAATTTCTATGAGAAAGTATTACTACAGGGGTTGGAAATGTTCCAACAATTGTGTCTACGTCCATATTTCTTTAATGACCCACCATTACTGTTTGTGGTGTCACCCACAGGAACTTGTCAAACTGTCTTCTTAATTTTTTTATCAGAGGATATATGATGTGAGAGAGAAAATCAAGTAACCAGCCACTAAGAAAAAGCTTGTCCGGTAAAAATTCAAGATTGCCTTTAGAGAGGTTAATGCAACGGGATCGAGTCACACTGGACTCCTTTGTAGCCCTGCCGCTTTGGGGGACGTGAGAATCTGTTTTTCTTATACCTGTGAGGGGAAGAAAACAAGGACAGTTATGTTTCATTTAAAGCTCTTATCAAAAACCACTTTGTATACAACTGTTACAAAGACCTGAAAGTGATAAATTGAATTAAGATTTAAGGTCATATTTATGGTTTTGACATGTGTCTGCATGAAACAGGTGGTGGAGCAGACCTCACATCACTGGGGGGGCTTGATTTCAGGTAGAAGGTACACCTGCAGGTTTTACATGATGACAGGTGGTAACTGGGTCACCTTTCAAATCATGACCACTCTTTATTAGCTGAATTAAAACTTATTATTTTACATATTTGGCCTCCCGCTGGAGAAAGAAAAGGAGCGAAAGCTGAGAAAAGACAACACTTTATTTATTTATTTTTTGTATGGGTGAGATATGTATGTATATATGTGTTGTGTTGTGTGTTTGTATGTATGCTGGCTGCTGGAACACCTAAATTTCCCTGCTGGGATGAATAAAGTATATCTTATCTTTATCTTTATCTTATTTATCTACAACAGTTTGAGAGCCATGAAAGTGAAACTGCTGTAACTCTTCTGACAACACCGTACAAGTTGCTGTCCAAGATAAGATCTCAAATGCTCTAGTCTAAGGATTATTACGGAGTGAATATCAAGCTCTCCAGCAAAAAAAATGATCTTGAGCATGAACGCTTATTCAAGTTCTTATTGTCTACTGAGATTCAAGGAAATGAGCCAAAGTCAAAGATGAAAACAAAACCTGAGGTTCATTATTGGAAATAAATATAAAGTGTTCTGTTTCATGTTAAAAATACTTTTTTATACATTAAGTTTTCAAAGAAATCCATTAAATATCAGCTCGATAAGCTCTCCCCAACAGTGAACACACACACACACACACACACACACACTGCATCCATTCACATATTCAAGCCTCACCATTTGCAGCAGAAGTACAGAGCTCCAGCCAGACCGATCATCAGCAGAATCACACAGAAAACAGTGAGGAGGATCTGCTCTTCTGCCATTGGCTGAAACACCAGCTCCAGATTTCCACACCTGGGACCGTAGAAGCCATCCTCACACCTGCAAGGCAAGGCGACGAGTCATAAGTGAACACATGATGATTCACAACAGCAGACAGACACACACACACACGCACGTACGTACGCACGCACACGCACACACACTGGATCATACTTGCAGTGATGTTCGTTGATGTCCACCAGCAGCATGCACAGGCCGTTGTTCAGACAGTATTTATCAAATGTGCTTTCACATTTCTGTGTTGACCGCTTCACCACATGAGGGCGCTCTTCTCCCTGAACTGAGACAACAAGGCAGCGATATTATTAATAGTGTTTTCAACAAAAGTACCCTTAAAAAAAAAGACACTCACGTGTCTAAATCTGAGTATACATTGATCACAATAACACATATTTACTTATTACTGTGGGTTTTTTATTGGCCCTTATCATTTTTCCAGTGATAAAAGTATAATAAGGATTTGAGAGCTACAGAGTCAGTAACATCTTTATGATAAGATACAATACACTTAATTGTCCCCTTTGGAAAATTTGCCTCCTCTACAGTAGAATCAATAAATCAAACACACATTAATCCTCATGCAAACATCAGCATACAAATACAACATAGACAAGAGAAATAGATGATGTTACTGAACAACTTACACAACCTTTGAAAAACTACAAAAAGTTGTAAAAAACCCAAGGAGAATTCTGGAAAAAAAGTAAAAAGCCTTTATTAAAGTGGCTATTTCATTATGGAAATGTTAAAAACATAGAAAGGTAATCAAAAAGCTGGGTAACAACAACCCACTGGTAGCGGCTCATTCTGCATTCTTCAGGTGTCAGCACCTGAAGAATGCTGTTTGTGCCCTATACACACAAAAGTAAAAAAATAAAATAAAAAAAGTCATGGCATTTAACCCCAATAGATCAGATGAATAATTGACTGACATCATGATAAAATGTAAAAATATATAGTTTTAAATAGTAATTATTAAAACCTATGGCAGCTATTTGTGACCCTTTTTGTAGTGATGATATCTCAAGAACATCTGTAGGAAAAATGTTCACATTTGGAACTAATCACACATGAAGAATGAACGGTTTGAATTGTGGTGTTTTAAGGTCAGGGAGGCTCTGTGTCACCTGACCTCCAACAACATAACTTCAGTGTATCCCCTCAGAGACATTGTCCTGCATTATGTCAAAAATCTCAATAAATCCGTGTTTTTAGTTGACCAGCTGTTCATTACTATCACATCAAAACCAGCTTTCTAAAAACAATGACATATGTAGATCAGACCTGCTAAATGTAGCAGGTATGATCTACAGTTGCCAGAGTAACATCCAGTGTGATACCATCTGTATGAAATAGTTCTTAGAAAGATGTGTTTTTAAAAATTACATTAGACGTTCAAACACCTGCAAATGTGTCATAGTTAAAACATCCAATGATTTGTTGTTGTAAGTTGCAAAAACAAACATTAACAACGGATGTCTGGTTGAATACCTGCAGTAAGAGAAGAGCTGGATGAGACGCTCTTTGTGAGAACATACGGCCAGAGCAGCATGACACCTGTTGAACAGAGAATATGTTATGTTAAATATATTACATGTTCTTTAAAGGAACCTGTTTTTTGTTTTATTACATGACTTTCACAATACATCTGACTTCAATCTTTTTGCATCGTGTCTTCAGGACAGAATCAACTCTTCTACAGGTTTAATATATCTATGAATTGATGTTGTTGCTTCACAGATCCCACCCATCATTTATTTATACCACTTATTCTAACTTATTATGGCGGGGGGCTGGAGCTGATCCCAGCTGTCATTGGGCGAGAGGCGGGTATAAGAACCTGGACCGGGACAGGTTGTCAGTTAATCACAGGGCTGACACTTAAAGGCAGATGACCACTCATACCTACAGGTAAGATAGAGTCACCTATGCACACAATGAGCATGTATTTGGACCCTGGGAGGAAGCCAGAGAATCACTTATGCACGAGGAGAACATGCAAACTCAAGACCCAAAGGCCGCTGTCCGACCAGGGATCCAAACCAGGATCTTTCTTGCTATGAGGTGACAGCACTAATCACTGCACCACTGTGCATCATCTTCCCAGACAGTTTAACTGAATAAATTCAGGGCCTGCAACTGTAAAATTGAAATATTTCACATGAAAAGCAGGATTTTTAAAGATAAGCCTGAAAAATAATCAGGAACTATGCTGATCTTTGGTCCTGTTAATGAACCTGTGACACAAATCAATTCATTGCAAGCTTTTAATAAATGTAAGCTAACACATATAGATTTTTGACATCACATGATTTTATTTTATGTGTGGAAAAGCCCTATGTTCATAACTTCAATATATGAATTATTGGATTACATTCATATTTTCAGACATTACATGATGATAAATTTCCCTCTGTAACATGATATTGTACCTGACAAAAGATTGTCATCTTATTCTTTATTCCCAATTGATTTATTTGTTGATTGTGGTAATGTGATACCTCCCACATGGCATGAAGGAAAATTTCAGATCATACATACGAGGGGAATAATAAAACATTTTGGCAAGAAACGTCAGCTTTGCAGCCTTTTTTTGTGTGTTAACTTTTCCAAATAAGACACGATAGGCCCACATGCCTGTACCAGCCTGCATAACTTTATAATGTGCTGCGTTTGCAGACGCCCACATTCCTGCAGGCAGGATAGAATAACATAGGAACCTGTGTGCATGATGTGTCTGGTTGTGACTGGTTATGAATCTCGCTATTAAACCCTGTCCATCGTTTCTCTCTCTGAGTTTCTCTTTGTTGTTATGGCAGCAGCAATATTTTTCCCAGTGGTTTCTGTGAAAGGACTAAGGCTGGTTGTTAGGTGTTTCTGACGTGGCTGATTAGTTTAAAGTACAGGGTGAGCTGGAAGTAGTGACGAACCAACCTACTGTACTAATCAATAACCCTTTATTTATGTAATGAGTCTCTGACTCACTGCTGATACCAATCTTCCCCTCATCGTATCAATAAGCACGAGAGTTACACCTTTTCCAACAAACTGAATAATCATCAAAAGGAAAGCAGATGAACCTGCACCACTGCTGGTTGAAAAAAACATTAGTCTGGGGTAAAACTGAGCAGGACAACAACAAAGAATACTTTATTTGATCCACATAATCAAGGGCAGCAGAAAGAGGAAATATTATCACCGTTTATGACAAAATGTGCCTGAGATAAAAAAAATATATATTCAGAGATAAATAAAAGCATATTACTGCAAAACACAGAAGGTTTGATTCATGGCTCATTAGTGGATCATTGAGTTGTAAATTAAAAAGCTGATTCAGGGGTCCTTTACATGGCTGTTGTCAGGTTTTACCAGGAGCAAAGCCATCAACGGGACCACTCTACCTCCTAGTCCAGTGGTTCCCAAAGTGGGGTCAAAAGACACTGAGAGGAGGGTCACGAGATTCCTTCCTAAAACATGACTTAGAATTGCATATTTTACCCATTATTGTTATTATCTATATTATTTATCCATTGGACAGTGTGGGTCACCGGTCTTGTAGCACCGTATTTTGGGGGTCACAGGCCAAAACGTTTGGGAACTCTAGTGGTGGACTGTTTGGCAGGATTACATATTACGACATTAAAGGGCCGTGACCTAGTCGCTGTAATTATAGAGGGGTAATAGCATTGGGGAAATGCAGCACTAGAAGATGGTGAGAGTGGATGGATGGATGGGTCAAATAAACACAAGACTTTCATTTGGGAGATCTGGGTTTGTGTCCCATGGGATAGCAAGAGTCAAAACTGAGCTATTCAAATGTTAGTCATGTAATGATTTAATCTTTTTAATTACCTTAAACTACATTATTTGGACCAAGCCAAATAGTTTTGGAGCATGAAGCCAATCAAACAGTGACTGTTTCACAATGTTGCGTCAATGTAACCATGCGGTCACACAAAGTCTAAAACATTCTTTGTTCTTACATTAGTACATTTAGTACATTTTTTTAGAGATAATTATATAAACCTTCTGCTACAGCTCTGTTGGAGACCGATAACAGTCACTTGTAATCAAACAACATAAGTGGGCGGAAGAGACAAAAAGATGAACTTTCTTTCAGTTATCATCTTTTTAACACACGTATTAGTATTTGTGATTGTCAAAGTGTTGCATGCGACATTTACTTAAGAAGGCTGCCGTGTTTATGGAAAAAAAACACGATTTATTTGTGCTGAGTAGACCATGTATAGCATTTGGAATATAAAATAAAGTTTCGGGAAATGTCTAAAACATGAATACCAATGTATGTGGCAGAACTTTATTTTTCTCCTGAAACTGTTTGAATATTCTCCCCAGCACCCCTCACAATGATCTGGTGACCCTTCAAAGGTCCCAACTCCACAGGGGCCATATGTCTGAAGATAGAGTGCTTTACTTTTGATTCTTAAATGTTCTTTATAATGCTTCTGTACTTTTTACATGCAATAATATGCAGGACTTTTTACTTAAACTGCAATTTTAAAATTGCATATTTCTCAATTTTCCTAATAAAGGATGTTATTACCTCAACTACTTGTTATTCAAATGTTTATATAGGCAAGAATATAATGTTTTCTTGTTTAGTGTTTTGTGCAATTAACCTGAAATGACAGATTTATTCAGGCCACATGTGCAACCGAACAGTAAATCTTCCCGATGTGTTTGCCAAAATTCTGAAGCATCCTTCAGGCTCAGAGCTCAGAGTGCGTCAGCTCATTAACGCAGGTATGTGGCACAAGACATCCACTTCAGTCAATATTGATAATGCATTATTGAGTAATAATATACAGATATACACCTATAATAAAGGATTATACAACTCAGCAGCTGTTGTCTGCCAAATGAGTCCTTTAAGTGCCTTTCACTGACTGCACTTCTGTACTTTGAAGTAACATTTCAAATGTAGGGCTTTTCCATGTAATGTGTTTTTGTTTTTCTATTTTTAATAATGAAGTAATACTTGTACTTGATTTAAATGTCGGAATACTTTTACCACTGTCAAACTGTCAGACACATGAAAGGAGTAAAATATTTCATAAAAAAATAACTGCACAAATGGAAATGCAAAGAAAGAACTAAGAAACACTTGAAATCAGACAGGTTTAGTGCTGGATTTCACCTATAGGCTATGTAAAGCACAGAAGTGCCATCAGCTAAATATCCAAAGGAGAATACCTCCTTTGGCAGAATCATTTTACTGCCATTGATTTGGAATTGCCTTAGTGCTGATTTTGATTTATATGTTACATATAGATGTAGATGTTAAAGGTTGACTAGGTTGATCTTCAATACATCATTAATTTCAGAAACTACATCACTATCTCATTTTTTAAGCCTAGCAGAGAAAAAAAGAAACTTAAAAAAGAAACTTTAAGAATAAATTGTTGGAAAATTGCAGAGTAGTAAAATTTTTGATGAAACCATCAACTTTAAGATGAAGTTCACTTCAATTGTGGGGAAAAGAGCTATAGGCTAAAGGCCTACCTTGAATTTGAACGTAGGCCTAGGGTAAGTATTTGAGGAGTCCTAGATATAATTAGTAACACAAAAAAAATCACAGTAACTAAATGAAAAGCTATTAAATGTACAATTAGCAGTAAAACTCCGTCAAATGGACATATTTAACATCAACTTACCGATGAGTGAGAGGAGCGTTGAAGGTTTGCTGTTCCCCATTTCAGAGAGCTGCACACACACACACACACACACACACACAGACACAGAGAGAGAGAGACAGGCAGGAGGCTCTCTGTGCTGCGCGCAGGTATACAAACGCTTCCGACTTGTCAAAAATAATTATAAGGTAAAAGTAAAGAAGTCGATGGGTTTCCTGGCAGACACAAGGTTGAAACCAATGGGCTTAATGCTGTGGTCTGGGTGTGGTGATGACAGACTCCTGTAATTTGGGCTACTTCACACTTCAAAGGTCCAAATGAACAAAAAAGGAGGGGCTGCTGCTATCACCGTCATCTGCCAAAGACTGAGGATGGACTCCTTCACAGTCTGACTCAAGTCAAGCTTTCGCCCTTCTTTTAATGAAATACAGTAGATAGACAAAAAAAAAAAAAAAAGTCTTCCTGAATGTTATTATAGAGCAGTATAGCTTCTGTCTTGTATTCTATATTCTAATGAGGGGTAATAATAAATACATGAAGGCTACAAGGAAGAAGCATTTTACTGTTGTTGCAGCTTAAAGTGGGACTGGGTTCATTATAAAACATTATAAACTGTTAGTAGTTTACAGTATTCTGAAACACTGCATAAATTAACAACCCCCGACCTTCCAGTGGAGAGACGACCTACTAACCCTCTGAGCCACAGCCGACCCTGTCAATCAACTGTCATACTGTACATTTTTCCCCACTGGTGATAAATGGTGAAAAAAGCTCTTGTGAGATTTACAGATTTGACTATTTATTTTCACCATCCAATCTTAGACTACAGAGATGCATCACCTTCTTTAAGGCTATGATCTGTTGATGCATATTCACGGTTCAGTCTTTGCACTGCATTTTTATTTTGGCACTTTAATAATGCAAATGAGATTTTTTTTTTAAGTTCCATTTAGCTCTTTCAAAATGTGTATGTGTATCTCAGTGTGAGTTCTCCCTCTCTAGCGTATAATCACAGTTTTAGATGTGTTGTAACTTGTGTTTGTAGGTAAAAAGGTGAACAAATACACAGAGACATTCAGGTATCTTTTTTTTTTAACATTTATTACACATTTTAAATAAATTGAACACTGGGAATAAGTTAACACCAATATAACAATAAATTATAATTTTTTTCTTTCAAGGACAATAAAGTCATTAATATCTAAGCCTGTTTTACATAAATATTCCGCTCCAGGTCTGACCATAGGTGTCGGACACATGTCAGTCCGTTTGAACTGCTTGATTAGTCTTCTGTTGAAATGTTTGGTTCATGATTCCCCGAAGAGTCATACTCATACTGAGAGTGAAGGTGAAGACGATGTAGATGATGAACAGTAGAAAGTTGTTGTATCACACTGATGACTCAGACGGGGCAGATTTTATGAGTGGTGCTGATTTTATACACCTGGAAAACAAAATCATTTGAATTAGAATATGTTATTTAATACTTTATAACTATTCAAGATTTTTTTAAACAAAGATGTGATTTCTATAAATACAACAGTGCTTTGGATATGAAGACTGAGATAACAAAGCTACAGAGAGAGAATGCAGACACAAATAATGTGTTTTAAATTTTATGTTTGTGGATACAAATATTTATGAATAAAATCTGGATTTTAAAGGGATTCCAAATATCAAAATACATTTTCCACAGTCCTTCAAACATGCACTGCATTGTATGTAGAACGCCTGCAGATACTCACCTCTTATAGGCAAAGCAGTAGAATAAGATGGCCAGGAAAATGATCAGCATGAGAACCCCAAAAATGATACCCATCAGTCCCTCCAGATCAGCCAGAGAGCGGCTGTTATCGAGGAAGAAGAGGCAGCGAGGCCCACTGTACGAAGACGTGCAGCTGTAGAACAAGCAGAGAAATATGTGAATGCATTCCACAGCGGAACACGAACCAACATGTGCATCTAGATATGAAGCGAAATAGACTTATCATAACCATATACCAGGCTATGGCTTAAACATGTGTGTGGTAACAGTTCTTACATGCAGAAAGGTTTTTCACTGTCTTGAGGGAACATGCACTTTCCACCATTCTCACAATAGTTTTCATCTTCGCTTCCACATGGTTTATGTGAGTGCAGAACGCGAGGTTCCTCCATACTGTCTGCAGAGAAACAGAGTCATTTTTATGATCAATAATCAAATTTGAACACATTGTATAGTGGCCCAATTGTGCCATGAGGTTATCAACTGACTGATGGAAAAATTAAGTGATAGAGTGAAGAGTTCAGAAATATTGATATGCTAACAATTTGGGGGGGGGACATTTTTTCTTTTTCATTAGGAAATCATTTTGATTACGTTAAAAGTGAGTGATATTAACACTTGAAGTTGCTTTGTTTATTTTTGCTCATTCTATGCTGCAGTAATGGGACCCATACTACCACTCATTACTGGTGTGTAAAGTTGAGCAAAGTTGGACCCTCTGGAGACTGAGGCATTCCCCTCACAAATTTGTCATACATTTATAAGACTCATCTTTCCTAATTACACAGCTTTGAAGCTTGGAATTTTTTGTGCTCTAGTTAACCTTTTCTGTTTAAATAATACATTTTAATGAATGTATAGTTGTGAATGTGTTTAAAAACACCTTAGCACAGTTCAATGTCTGCAAGACGCAAAATACAGACTCAACTGAAGTAACTTACCATTGCTGATCAGTGTGGTCAGAGAGGAGTTTGACAGAGCAGGAGTTTTAGTGGTAAGGAGGATGTCGCTCAGCATTGCAGAATTTCCAGCTGAGGTCAGGAGAATCAGCACTGTTGCTGCTGAGAGGACAACTGCGGAAACAAACATCAAAAATATGATTTTTACTGTGAAAATGGTTCATCTCCTAATATATCTTATTTTAAATTTGAGTAAACTAGAAACTTACCCTTCTCCATGTTCGTCTGTCTTTGTGTGAACATCTCGTCTTCTGTCTGTGTGATGTCTGACGTTTTCAGCTCCACTCTTCTGCCTTTTCTGGGTGCTGCTGCAAAGCTTTAATACTTTGCATCCAATCACCGCCAAGATTTGGACAGCCAATCAACGAAGAGAGAATTTCTGAAAAATGAGAAGCATTTCCTTCCAAAATTCTATTTGCATCATTTCCTTTTATTTACTCTGACGCTCTGCATGCACGGGCAGAGTCGACAGGTTGATGGTGGTGGAGGGGGCAAGCAGTTACCCTGAAGCTCTTTAAATGTGGTTTATTCTCTGGAGGCCTCGGAAGCCACGTAAGCTCTTGGCAAATTGAAAGTTACACCTAAATGCTTCATGCTGCAGTTTTAAGGGGGTTGATTCTTTGGCAGTTTCAGGAGTTGTGAAAGCCTCAATTTTCTATGAGGGGTGATAACGGAGGATTTGTATGTGACTGCTTATGTAACATAAGACTTCCAGATAAGAAAGATAAGAGACAAACCTGACAGATGCTGTCCAGATGAAGTGAAGTATAGTCTTCATTGGATGGCATCAAGACGGGAGATTTCAAGAAATTAGGAATGTAAAGAAATGTTTCCTAAAACGTCTCTGTTGCAGGACAGACAATCTTTCCAGCATAGAAGATAGCCTGCCATAATTAAAAGGTCTGTTAAATACATCTTTCTTAAGGATTTAAAGCTCAAAGTTTGTTCCATGAGAAAGTTTTCTAATGAAATGGCTTCAGAATATTAGTTTTTTAAATTTAAGTAAAGCATCATTTGAATTTTCTTTTTCTTCTTTTAAAGTCTAAATGGAGGTCAAACAATGTATTCCAATAAATAAATAAATAAATTCAGGGAACAAAATTTAACATTATGTACTGGCTGCTTATTGGTCACTATAGAGTGTATAAGTACCTTACTCTACATGACCATAATCTATAGCTCATAGGCCATTAACTAAGAGTCTGTCATCGATACACTCCTAATTACTGCGCATGAATTATGATCTTAATATGCTTTAGCCTCCTTCAACCATATAAGGGCCTTACTAAGCAAAGCATATTAATATCATAAGCAGCCAGTATGCTAATTAGCATTCTAATAAGCAACTAGTCAATGTTGAATAGTGTGACTTTAATGTAAGGGTTACCAAAGTAGATAATAAGTAAATATTCACTGCAGTACTAAGCTCTTAGAGGGACTTTTACAGAATGAGCTGTCTCAGGATTTAGAGCAAAAACAAGACAAACCTGTAATTCTTCGAGGCTGTACTAAGCTAAATGCTAACATCTACATGCTAAATTACTCAAACTGATCATAATAACAAGAAATGTTAAGTGGGAGAAATATTGGCGATGGCTCTATGTTGGGTGTTAGCATGCTAATGTTTGCCATGTTGCTCTAAACACAAGTTGAAAGTGAGGCTGACGGGAATGGGCAGAAGCACCAAACAGAGTCTATAATATTGGCACAGCATTGTTTTTTATTTCCTTTTCCAGTGAATCTGGAATGTTCAAAAATGAACCAGAATGACTTCAGTAGAAAAAATATGAATCTAAGCTCTTTAAAAGTGAACTCTGGAATAAATAACTTAAATAAATAGTTGAACAAAATATAAATAAAGTATGTATCAAGTTAGTTTCCCAGCAGGTATGGAGTCTTCAGCTCATGGATTTGAAATAAAAGTATGTGTGTGTTTGCATATATGGATTCAGTGTTAGGACTGTATATCATTCAATAAAAACCAGTGGCTTTATATGGTGTGTGTTCAATGCATCAGTGCGTTTCTGGCAGCAGTCACAGTGTTCCTCATCAGCATGGCGACCGTCATCGGACCCACGCCTCCGGGAACCGGTGTGATGAGACCTGCTTTCTCTTTCACTCCTGCAACAAACAAACAAACAAACAAACAAACAACCAACCAGGAGTTTATTTATTTCAATAACAAGAGCTAAGATTGACAGTTTAATCTCTGTTTGGCCTCCTGCGTATTTGGAAGAACATGACATTAAGTAATTTGCACATTTTTTTCATGACATGATTTCTTTCATGTCAGTTTTAAACCTATGAAGTGAATGTCAATCAAACTAACTCTGATGTTAAGTGGAGGCACAAAACGTTAAAACTAATTATAAGCAGTTTGAAAATGTGACATCGTCCATTCATTATGTATCATGAACTCCCTTAAAGGGTTGTATTGGTGTTGGTGAAATAGAAATGATTTGATTAACAATCTGGTTTTCAGTGCCTCTTGTGAACACAATGTGATAGAAAATATGATGTATATTGACTGCCCTAAGAAAGAAATAACATAAAGGTAGTGGATTTATTCACTAGTGATCAAACAGTGTTGCACTTGCCTCCCTTTCTGGAGATATTACAAACAACTTATTATATATTTACCCTCAAAGTCCACGTCACCGATGAGTCGCAGTTTTCCAGTTTTGGGGTCCTTGATGCGGTTAATTCCCACGTCAATGACTGCTGCTCCCTCTTTTACCATATCTGCTGTGATCAGCCCAGGAACACCTACGGACAGAAATTGCACCATCACAAGTGAAGTGTTTGAGACCCTTGGCAAAACTAGCTCCTGGTGTGTATTAACTTATTAATCTGTAGAACACAAAATATGTACAGTTAAAGTTTAGATCACTAAACTAGATTTTGGCAGAGAGACCTTCTTCAAGACTGCTGTAAGATGAGGTAATGACTTGTTTGTCTTACTTGTTCTGCACATTACTATACCATTTTATTTTTTTGTATTTTGTGTTTATATATGATGGAAACTCAATAAAGATATTTGAAATATAAGATGAGGTAATTAAGCAGAAAGGGTGTACCAAGAAGCAAGCTCAATATACCGAGACTTTCCGAGACTGGCCTTAACAAAGCTTAAAGCTCCAATAAGAGATATCTTTATATTGGGATGAATACATTTTGATGCTTACTTAAAAAACATCATACTCTGCTTTTGAGGTAGAAAACAGTTTGGAGTATAATACATTCATAAAAAATGATTTTGTTTTGGTAATTATCGATAAAAAGCTGCACTAAATGTCTGAAAGAATTAGGAGGCTTTTTTTCCTTTTCATCTGAACGCTGAAACTTTAAACATTATTGGTCACCTTGGCAAAGTTTGGTTGGTTTGTTAAAAGACATCTGAAGCCACCCTACATTTTCTGATACAACCACCATGGCCATAAGACTTATAAGGTAAGATATAAAAGTTCTACAGTTTCCATTTAGTCAAAGTATCGAAGTCATTGAACTGTCAGCCTTTGTTTTTTTCCTGAAGTGATGCTTGTCATCTCCTGTTAATTGTGGCCTCTGTTGGAAAACTTCAGACAGAAGCGGGACAAGTTGACACCACAGTTGAATGTCTAAAAGAAAGGAAATTATTCAATATTCTATATTTATGTCGGCTGCCAGGGAGCTGTCACTTTTAACTTCTCAGATTACACTTGCAGCTATCAAATAATGGGATACAGTTTGAAACAAGGATTTCCAAAAACACAAAACAAACGTTTGCCAATTCCAAAAGTGACATGAAAACAGTCTTTGCCAGAATGGCTGTGGTTCATTTAATAATACAGAGCACTGGATATACAGTGGCTCGTCGAAGTGAAACCTTACAGTAGGGTGAAAAGAAAGTGTAGATGCCCTTCCCAGAAAGCCGCTCTTAGTCATCAGAGATAGCCATTTATTACAAAAGGAAGAAAAGCTTAAGACCCCTTAAGGCCCTTGATGTCTTTCAACAGATACTCCTGTATCTCCTCCCAGTGTGGGGCAGGTTAGCAAGTAAAAAACACATTTAAACATCAGCGTTGATACTGAAAATTCAGAAGAGATCACATTAGGTCAATAGCATCTTACACTGGTTTAACAAGTGAACTCTTGAGGTAAGAAGAGTATACAGTAAGTTATGATATTCAAGTCGCGACTCATAGTCCATGGTGTTAACGTCCTGTCTTGTTTTTAATTCAAGCCAACCAAAATAACTTTTAGACAGTAACAGGTGGCCTTAAGAACATTCATTATATCAAGTAAGAAAGTTAAAAAAATCCAGTTAAATTGGTTCAAATGCCTGAAATGTGCATATATTTCATAGTTTAAACTATTTATGTTGTTAATTTTGACTACAATAGAGTTAATAGTTGATTTCTTTATTTAAGGTATTGCATCGATTTAAACTGGAAACTTGGCTTTTAAAACTTGCAACATGTAAAGAGTGACAAGAGAGTGTTAATGTCTGTAGAAATATTAGAACTGCAGAATCAGATTTTGCTGAGGAAATATCACAGTGATTATTTATCTCTCATTTTCAGGGTGTAAAACAGTTTGAATGGGTCACTTGTGTTATAAAGTTGCGGGTATAAGGACATTTTCCAGGATTAGTTTGGGCTGTGGTGGTGGTGTCCAATGCGATATCTTTTCATGGGGCTTGAGTGGCGCCCCCGGGTACATATATCCAGTCTGTTTCGAGCTACTGATATCTTTGAATTTAGTTTGACAAATCTCTCTCTTTGACACCTCACATTCAGCAGCTGGTAAAAAGGTCAAAACTGAAACCTGGTTTTTACTTTAGAATCAAATCCTGTCTCCCTTTTGAATCTTAAGAAGAGGCTGGTTGCCGCTACTTCTTTGTCTGTGCTGGACTTTGGCGATGTTTTATACATGCATGACTCGTTATAAAGCTTGCATGCTCTGGACACGGGACAGAGCTCTGAGGTTCATCACTCATTTTAAAGCCCACTCATCATCGTTTGTTGTCTGCACGTGTTTAATGATCTTCTTTTTCTTAACTTAGACACTGACATATTCTTATCTAAAGGTCCGTCTTAGGTCCGCTTCCTTCGTACCTCCTTACCTACATCAGTCAGAAGAGTACAGGAACTTACAACCTTCTGTCCCGGGACCTTTCTTGCTGTCTGTTTTAAAAGTCAGACCTGAACTAGGGAAAATGTTTGCTGCTCCCTTTACTTTAAACTTATTACAAAAAGAAGTTCAAAGACTTGGAGGCTGACACATCTGACTGTAGATGTTCTGCCTGATATATTTATGGTTGTGGGCAATCATGAAGAATATTTTCTGTTAAAATGTGTAATTTAGTGCCTTTTGTTGTTTCCTAATGTTGTATGCTATATTATGTTTATATGTATGGCTGCTCATTGTTTGTCAGAAACCCTGTTAAGTGTGCTGCTGCCGTCTCGGCCAGGACACTCTCAATAGTTTTTTTCCAACAAATAAACAAACAAACAAAAAACATAATACCTGCAGCTGCAATAATGATGTCAGCCAGGCTGGCCAGCTCCTTCAGCTGTTCTCTTGGTGTACATCTGTGGGTGATGGTCACAGTGGCATCACCTGAGAGGAAACAACAGATCATTGTCATTTTTGAAATATCTGTCTCTGAGTTTTCTGGCCTTTAATATTACATCCTGTGCTTAAAGAAGTGAAAAACGCTAAAGGATCAAAAAACAGATCAATGCACTCTGTGATAATTCACAGACTATCACGTTTTCAAAAAAAGCTGCCATTTTTTTTATTTGCTGCGGCAATTTCATTTACCTCCATTCCAACAAGTTTTAGGTCATAAAGTCTTTTTTTTTTTCAAATAATATACTCTAATTAAATAAAAACTGCGTTCAATTGAAACCCTCAAATTAGTCTTTGACTCGTGTCTGATTTATGGATCCGTCTGAATGAGTTCAGGACGTTACAGCGGCTCATCAATCGCACAGGAAGAGAGGAGGAAAGAAGAATGCAGGAGTTTTCAAATGTTTTTACGAGTTTGGAAAAGTACAAGCGGGCTGCTTTTGCTCATTGTCATTTTGTAACACTGCCAGCAGCCTTGAGAAATTACAAACAAAGCTCTTATTCACCCTCCATCATATTAAGTTGGCAAAGAATATCTCAAAATAACAGTGTTAACTATCTGCAAGGATCAGCATTTCTACCATTAAGACAAAGATTTATATTTAATAAGCAGAATCCTTTATGACCTATGGTAGCCCATGTTATTATTTATTTTATTAGTCATGTGAAAGAAATTCTCTTTATGATCTGCATCAGAACTGTGGTGCATCTTGTGTTAGACTACATGCAGGCTGTGGAAGTTTCATCTCCATCTGATTTAGTAATTAATTTCACAACAAGGCATAGCAACATGACAGTAAATCCGGAGCTTTATCTAGAACATGCGAGGGTATCCTGCGCAATAAGTGATGAAGTGTGACCAGGGGAAGAGGAGTGGAGCGGGACAAAGAGGTAAACTCAGAGTAGATAAGGATGAAGGAGAAGGAAGGGCAAGTCACAGCACAACAAACCTTCAGGTCACATACCTGACAGGATGTGTGTGTGTGTGTGCTGGTGGGCGGAAGAGAAAAAGGGAACTAATCCCATTTAAAAAAATTAAGTAACAAAACATTTAATGGGTCATTTGTGGCTATATAAGAAATAACCACCTTTATAGAAAACTTAATACAATTTGAAGCTAAATATTTGTTCCCCTGTTTTTGAAGTTCAACAGACTATTATATCCTTGACCCCCCCTTATTAAAGGTTTTTCTTTTAGTTTCATCAGCTCTGTAACCAAGTCAATGCGTTGTTGCAAATTCAGCCAAAGACAAAAGTCTTTATATATTCAAGGGATTCCCTCATACTGAGTACTGGGCTTTTTCAAGAATCTGACAGATATCTGGGTTCAATTCTGACCTGCTTTAACTTGTTGGGACCTGATAAATAAAATGCATAGTTGTCTTTTCTGTTATTAGCAAATAAAACCTAAGTATGTTCACAACTGGCATTTCAAAGAATGAGAAAGAGGTTCTGTTGGCTTCTATCATAACACACACAGTACGAGGACAAGACCTGTTCATGTGAGTCTCTCAAATACTCTCTATATAAGATGTGCAACTAAGCACTGCTTAATAACTTAAAGGATGATTTGATTTTTCCTGCCCACATTTGTAATAATCTTTACTATGGAATAATTTAGAATCGTATTCTAATACTTACCAGAGACCACCGGGGGACGGTATATTTAGATCCTACACATTCCCCAGCAAAGTGACCTAACACTGCAATGACACAGCCCACTGTGTGATGCACCGGACCTTTATGTGTGATTGATCTCAGGTGATCAAAGATCATTTTAGCTGGCCGCCTTCTTATTAATTAAAAGGCAACACCCAACCATCCACCCATTATTGTTTGTATGCAGCTGCTTCTTTTCACCTTGATCTTTATGTGTAATACCAATATACTTTGACACGACAAACGTATCTTGATGCTTCATCTAAGCAAATTCCTTTGAGTACCTGCCCACGTCCCCTTCATGCTTCCTGTAGCCTTATAAGGACAGTTGAGCAGTTTGCTGGAGCGATGCCAAAAGTCTTGCCCTGTTTGGACTTTTTCTTCACACTCCCTATTTTTCCCCCCTTTCAACTCTCTTGGCAGGACATGCATCCGCTTTTGTTTTGTGAAAGATGAAAAAGTCACCAAAGCCTTCAATTTATTGGCCACATCTTGACAAAAAAAAAATGAAGCAATATGTACCTAACAGGGAAAGCCAAGATGGTGCAATACCGTTTGATACAAGAGAAGCGCTCCGATCATAATGCAATGGCAACTTCCTTTGAGAGACACAGACGGTCATGAACTTGCATACATGCACATTGCACACACGAGCACACCTACCTCCTGGGCGTTCATGGTTGCGATCAGTGTGCAGCAACATTGCGATGGGCATTCCAACATTTTTGGAGCGACCAGCGACTAGCACATTCTTTCCCACTGTCTCAATACCTGCACAAACACATGTTTTGTTAGAAAAAATATTTTGAATAACTTTTGCCTTAATAACTGCTCTGCTCAGCTTAGACAAAGGAAGATAAGGGCATGCAAGGAGATAATTGTTTGATAATTGAGAAATTCTGAAAATATCCCACAGCATGCCTGACTCATCCCATTAGTATGTTCAGGGATTTGATACTGATTCCTCACGCGAGGGACAATCTTGTGTGATGAGTCTATTCTCCAATTAAATGTGTCAAAAGCAAAATACATGATTATTGATTTTAGAAAGTCCCAAGCAAGCCCACTGTGAGCTGTTATTAAGGTTGCGGAGAGCTACATAAGTCTGGGTGTTGTTCTTGATAACAAACTGGGTTTTGAACACCGGTGTTGATGCTAGCTTTAAACAGGTACAGCAAAGATTGATCTTTTTCTCAATTGTTTCATGAGATGATGGCCCTCTTTTACAGAAGTTTAATTGAATCTTGTTTAATGCGTTTGTATTGTTGCACGGTTTGGAAACCTAAACCTGGTCAACATGGAAACTTCCTGAAACAGGCTGGGCTTCTGGCCATTTATAGCAGGCAAGTCCTGAGGAGGTCTAATGCTATACTGGATTGCCCGAATCATCCACTTCAAGTGTGAGTTGGAGCTTTTGCCCTCAGGCCGTCGTTTCAGAGCACCTGTGAGGAAGACTAAAAGACTCCAGGTCTTGTTTATCCCAGTGCAATAAACTAAACAGCAGTTTACCCTGTGGTTACTTTTTTTGCACTGTTGTTGCACATTTACCGTACATACCTTCACATCACACTTTGCATTACATGGTAGAAACTTCCTTCTCAGTATGAGCTCATGACTGATTTTATTGATGATGTTGTTGATATTGTTCTTTTACATTGTGTCTGTTTTGAATGTGTCTGATTTCACTGTTGATGTTGTCCTTGTGTATCTTGAATTTCTGTGTGCTCTGCAGCACAACAAATTCCCCCTCATGGGACCAATACAGAATAATCAGAATCTGAACAAACATGTATTGTTTGCCGATACAAAAGTCATGAAAGTGATGATGATGATGATGAGACATGTATTGGGCTGTTCTCTTAGTTTGCTTATTAAGCGGATATTACATAATTCAATGTTGTCCAGTCATGTTCTCTCTAAAACCTGTAAAACTTGCCAAGTTTATCATCTCTGTGTTTTTTCTATGTATTTCTATATTTTTAAACGTCCCTCAATATCTTTACTACATACAACTGGGGGAGAGAAGGGGGGGGGGGGTCATCCTGTCGTCATCGACAACATATTGAGCAGTAAGCTCCTAAACTGCTTCAGTGCTGTCTGGTATGGGAATTACTGAATAGATATCATTTGATGAAGTTTTCTGGAAAGGGGTTCAAATACTAAAATGTTTCCAGTCTCAGCAGCAGTTACTTGGACTGAACAAAGAGAACAAGGACTTCATCAAACTCTGCTTCTAGCTGAGTAAGGTCTGAATCCAACTATAACCCAAACAGCATGAAATGTCTTCACAACAACTGATCTACAACTGTCTTCCTTTTGGTTTTGGATTCTGCAAAGAAACTAATCTGAGAATAAGAGGTAAGCAAACCACATTTTCCTTTTCATTAAGATTTTGGTAGACTCTTTCAGCCAAGGTTCTGAATTGCCAAAATATTTATATCCTTACATTATCAAGAAGATCACTAAGAGATCGTGTGCATTTAGACTGGGGACAGATTTGAATTACAAGGCTGGAAAAGTTATTGACAAGCGCCATCTAGAGGATAAGACACTGTAGCTCCAAAGGTGACTTTAATAAGTTTGAGGTGTAATGTAGAATATTAAGACTTAATGTTTCAAAGTCAAAGCACCATGACAGGTCTGACAATACTTCTAATAGCATAGTTGGTGGAAAGTTATCTGCGGATGATGGTGATTACAAAGTTATTCACTTATGATGCAGGCAAAAGAAAACAGGTTGCATTTGCTGCAGTCCTCACACTCAATGATATCGCAATTTCAACAAATTCAAAGTAAAAAGGACAATACAAAATCATCACAAACAGGAAAAACTTGGGAGTTCTTTTTTTTTGTTTACCAGCTCTTTTGATGATCTCCCAGACAGCTGCAGGTGTGGCAGGCACCATAGACCTCTGGTCCAGACACAGCTTACCAATATTCACAATATGAAAGCCATCCACATCCTTCTCTGGAGCGATGGCATTACATACAGCTCGCTCATTGATGTGCTCTAAAGATCCAATTGAAAAGGACAGACGCTCAATGAGATACATTAACACATTCAAAACAGCGTGGCTTCTTTTTGACAACATCATACACTGGGACTACATGCTGATTGAAACATACAGTATGTAGATGTTTTCAATATCAGCAGTAAAAAAAAGAATTGAGCAAGAACCCTCTTGCCCTCTTGGGAATGTACTTTTTTAAGAAAATATCCATTTAAGCATTCTGGTCATTGTATTGTAAGACCAGCTTGTTTATTTAACCTTTGGGTCAGTCAGGAAAACACTTATGCAGCTGGGGATTTACCAGGAAGTGGCAGCTGCACCAACAGGCCGCTGACCCTCCAGTCACGGTTCATCTTGTCAATCAGCTCGAGCAACTCCTCCTGAGAGACAGAGCTAGGCCGAATAACCGTGTCACTTGAAATACCTGGAGAGCAAACAAACACATCACACATTCCATGTTCATAATGTTGCCATAAACATGTTGGTGTGCAGTGGCAACTGCAAAACACTGTATATTAAGTTTGTTTGTGCATGCCTAGATATGAAATATTTGTTGATCTGCTGCTCAGCAATGCTTTACTTACCCAGGATACTGGCTGCCCGGGTCTTATTCCTAACATAAGTACGACTGGCTGGGTCGTCCCCCACCAAAACCACTCCTAAGTGGGGTCTCATGTTGCCCTGAGCAACCAGATCTTCCACATCGCGCTGGATTTCTCTGTGAATCTGTCGAGCCATCTCTGTCCCAGAGATCACAACAGCAGCATGCCTGGAAAGGTAAATCAAACACCAAAGACCGATAACCCATATACAGCAAACATGCCAAGACAGGAATGGTTAATATTCCAACAACAACAAATGATTAGAAAGCATAAAGCCCTAAATACCACAGTTCCAGCTTCTTAAATGATCCAGTTGGTGGGTGTTCTCCACTTCTGTATCATTTAAAATGAGGCACGAACCGGCGGTGCTTGCTTTAATGGATTTAACATTATCTAGTAATGATGTAAGTTACTTCCTTATCTCAAGAATAAAAAGTATGTTATATAAAAGTTGTGAGATAATTGGGCAAAAGGTAGTGCCAAGCCCGCATTCATGGATGGTGGCTTGGCAACAGTAGATACTGATTTGGCCTGAAACTTTTAAAACAAGGTCAACCTCAGTATTTAGGTCTTATGCATTAGTAGAGATGGTTGTCAAACTGTTTAATCTTTTAAACTGTTCGCTTGTATAAAATGACTCCAGCAGACGAAACAACATGCCCTGACTAACACCTTAACTAAGAATCCAGTCATGAGTTCCCCCGAACTCTGAATTCCCCCCCCCCACACATTTGGTAATTACTAGTACACATCACAGATTCTTGCACTTTCTGCTGATTTGCACTTCTGGTGAGATGCCAAACCTCATTTCGTTACTCTATACTTGTATATGTGTAATGACAATAAAGTTGAATCTCATCTCATCTCATGACCCTTTTTTTCTCGTGATGAATGACGTTGTCGTCCGCTATCTGACATTCAAGATGAAAAAAAATGAATTCTGTATCACTAAACCAGGGATGGGCAACTTTGGCCACAGCAGGGGCCACATTCATTTAATTCTCACTGCCAGAGGGGCCAAACTGTAGGACACAAAAACGATTAAAGTCAATTATGTCTCAAAATATACCAGTGATCGAATATTATTAAGGACATATTTCTGGTTTTCATGATTTCATGGCAGATTTTGTCACGTTTTCCAATTAATCAATATGTTAAAAAAAAAAAAAATGACTTGAGGGCCACTTTGAGGGGTTGATGGGGGCCGCATGTGGCCCCCGGGCCGCCAGTTGCCCACCCCTGCACTAGACAATGAGCATTGCTGTTACTATGACATAATTAATAAAGGGCAGTAACAGTATGGACGTTCTCGGCTTCCGTAAACTATAAATGTGCACCTTTTTCACACGTTACCGACTGTATTGTAATGTTAGCTAACACGAGCATCATAAACCAGCAGCCTGCAGGAAGCGTCGAGTTGTGTTACACTGATGCTGCTGTGTTGGTTGAGCCCCAGTCCTGAAATTGACCTCACAAAACCAGCCCTTTCTACCCTCTGTACCGTGAACGGTGAAACCTGCTGTCAATCACCGTCCCCCACCACGTGACCACACACACACACACACACACACACACGCGCGCCTTCACCGGTGCTGCTGACGCGCCGCCTCATCCCCTCCGCAACCTTCTCACCGTCCCTGCGTTACATTAACGGGACAAACAAAGTGTCGTTTACCTCGTCGCTGTCCGGTGTAGATGTCTCCTTTGACTCTCGCATTTTCTGTGCATTTGCAGTTTTGTCCGGCAGCAGTGATGGTGCAACGTTAACGGGCTACAAATCCTGAAGGAGGAGCGTAGCGGTGAAACAGAGGCCGCCATGTTTGTGTGTGTGTGTGTGTGTGTGTGAGATTGTGCACGAGACAGAAGAAAGGAGGGGGGGGGGCAGGGCAGTTCATAGACAGCACAGCTGATGAATGACAGGCTGCACATTTTCCTATGACGAGAAAACATGGCTAATTATTTCTTATTCAATTGCAGTGTTAGTCAGATAAAGAAAAAATCACGACAAAGGGACTGCAGTATTTAGGCTACACACCTTGTTTGGCAAAAATAGACCACATTAACACTAAAAACTGCTAAATGACTGTACAGATGTACAACAGCACCACCAAAGCTCCCAGAATAAGCTCAGTCAGTAAATCAGTTCAGCCAAGAAATAGTCAAAAATAACACTTAATATAATTCAGCTATGTATATGTATTTTTTTCTTTTTAGGCTATATAGTAAACACTCAGGATACCATCTCACTGAGGAATATATTGTACATATGTAATACATTGTATAATTATGCATGCTGTTTTAGAAACACATCAATTAGCGTTTTAAAAGTGACCTATATGGGATATGTATTCTTTAATATAATATTACATTCATAAAGATAATGTATGGAAGTAAATCAAGGTTGAGCAACGTTATAATTATATTATAAGAAATGCTAAAAAAAAATAAAAAAATGTTGAGTGATAAACTAAGCCATGCCTCTGATAAGCCACAAGATGGCAGCAAATATTTGGTTCGTTTACTTCATTGGGATTTTTTCTTTACCTAAAAAACTCAGAAAGAGAGAAGGAGCTTCAGGTGTTCATAAAGAATGTAATTTGCAGATCACATACAGTATATTGTAAGAGTGAAAATGGGATATGCAAATTAGTTAGAAACATGTGTTTATTATGTTCTTTCTCTATGCAGACATAACTTTAGTATGTTCTTAAATGATTGCTATAATGTTGGTTACAAGTGTTTACAGTAACGTTAATATCCTGTTATTAGGTAGGCCACCTAGTGGGCGCTGTTCAGGCAGGAGTGAGCTGTGTAGTGAGAGAGAGATTTATTCCTTCACATACACTCACGTCGCTTACAATATGTTTAAATAATTTCAATGGATATTGTGTAAAGCTATGATTACCAAGAGTCAATGATGCAACCGTCCCTACAGAGTACCTTATATCTGTAGCCAGAAGTTCCTGGTAAACTTAACAAAGACAATAATTCATCAGACTAAAATATTAAATGACTGTTTATCAATTAAGTAAAAAGGAAAAAACCTGCTCTCAAATCAGAACGAGATGTTTGTATGATTTTTGGGTGAATGGCCATGACTTTGACCTTTTAGACTAGGATATTATCCTGTCTCATTATTGAACTGTAGTTCTTACATTTTAAATACTTGAAGTATAAAACCAGAATACTGGATAATACCAGGATATTCATTTATTTTTAACATAAATTTTCTTGTAAAATGTGACGTACTACCATCTACAGCCCCTAAACATCGATTAATACAGGCCAATTTAAAACACTAACAACAGAAAGGTATTTCAGTAACAAGTGAAAGTTAGATATATAAACAGAAAGTCACACTATGGTCACTGTTAAAGTGGACAGCAATGTTGCTGACGGCAGTGTGGGTTAGGTAATTATACTGCTCACAGTTCCAGAAAACAGTCATTAAAATGTGTAAAGGAAGACATCAATGAAAAAGAATCATTACATTGTAAACCAACTGATAAAACTTCTACTAAAAAGATCCTAAATGATCATGAGGCTTGGAACAATAACTGTAAAAAAAAAAACACTGCTCACTTTATTCTGAATCATAGAATGTGGTTTTATCTCTTTAAGTTAGACAGTAATCATTTTAATTCATAAGTGCTTAAATACTACTGTGCATTCAAACAGTACGTATATAGAGTAAAGGGTTGTTTGAGTGGTGGGAGTGGTGGGAGTGTAGTGTATTCAGAAAATGTGGTAAACAACGCTCCCAACCAGGCTTGCCTGGACACGACACTGATAGAGAATGTACGTATTATCCTGCGTGACTAATGCAAAGCTGTGGTTTACTTAATAAATGGCTTTAATGTTGATGGACTGTTTGCCAACCCAAGGACAATAGTTTGAAAAAATTAGATTCAATACAAATTGTACAGTAAATAGTTCTGCCGACAACCGGAACTCAGCATGGTATGAGAAATCTCCCGGAAAGCAAGAACAAAGAGGATCATTTTCCTGTAACTGTGATGAAGCTGTGATATTTGTTGTGTGACTGTTAGAGAGCAGACAGTACATCTGAGGCACAAGATGTCGACCCTTAAGTGTTCAGATCACAAGTTCCATTGAGGAGCGACTGTCAAGTGAGCAAAATAAAGCCTAAATTGAAATGGCTCTGTTCAAGATATTTGATCATCTTAAAAAAAACATGTTAACAATATTAAAGTAATATATAATAATATTTCACAAACTACAATTCCTGACCAACGTTTTGGAAGTTTTTCCCATTATAGACCCCGTAAAACTTGCTTGTTTTTTGTATGGGAAACTGATGATGTGCATTAGTGCAGGCGCCTAGCCTTAGATGCTCATTCTGTAAATACTATTTACATATCCTCCATAGCTGACAAATAGCTAAAAAATCTAGACTCATAGTTGGCTTGATAAATTATGTGATGTAGGCTACCATCCTTGACTATCACAAAGTTTGCACCCTAAAATACATTTTACTTTTACTCCTTTTTCTCACAACCACACCATTCTTTTTATATTCATAAAGTACAAATACGTCAATGCAAATGATAGTTCAGCTCGCAGACAATATGCTGTGAAATATTGACCATTTTGTAGAGATAAATCATATGTTAGCTAGCCTATTAAAAAAAAACAACCCTGTCAAGATTTCACAGGATATACAAATAGTTTTCCAACAGGTTAAGTATGGTTAGATCTGAGGGTTTATGGTGTATAGTTTGAGAAGATTTCTAAGCCTTTTTGGTCCATTGTGGAATAATACGGTAGGCCCCACTAGGCGTGGGTGAAACTTTGGAGAGAAGAGTCACTTGTTCCACCCAACCACTGGAGTCATGTCCCAACAGGACACAGCATTTGTACAGTTCAAAAGGGAAATTATTTCCACGACAACACACACCAGTGCTTCTAGGCTTGTAAACAATATTATAATTGATGTTAACAACCCCCCCCCCATAAACTCAGAAGCCGCTGAAGGGGCATTTTGAGGTAAATAATATTCATTTGCCTCAATGTTATGTTGCTACACTTTTCATTTGAATTATTTTATAAATGAATTTGAATTAAAGTTAACAATCTCAGAATTAACTCTATACCGTACAAAATGTTCATTCATATCATAAAGTCGAGCCAGGTTTGATTACCCTCCAAACGACCCCTCCTTCTCTGTCTCCCTCCCACTGCTGTTGACTGGCTGCGCCGGTTACGTAACACATTTATGCTTGGCGCACGTGGCCCCAGCCATAATAGATGGCATCATTTTTGACGGATTAAAGATTACCATCGACCCAGTGATCACAACCTTATCACGCAACCCACAGTTTACCTTTTGGGGTGTAGAATAAGGGCGAAGTCAGGGGGGGGAAACAAACAGCAAAATAACAGTTTCCCTCTCTTTAATGACTGACTCGCAGAGACAGATTCCTGTGCACGACACGAGTCCTCTCCGTCTCTTAACATTAAATGATCCACAATGAAAACAGAATGAAGGGGGGAGAAGGGACAATGTGTTTGCTCATAATCTGAATGTGCATTAGTTTAAATAGGCTACTGTGCTATGGGCTGTGCAGCTTTGCTCAGAAATAATTAATATTTGGGTTTCCATATCACTTTATAGCCAACCAACACATATCGCTTATTTGAATTAAAGTTTAGAAATTATAAATAAATATTAATTTATTTAAATTATGATATTAATTTATTTACAATAAATGTTGGAAAAATAAATAAATAATATTCATATAAATAAATATTCATTTATTTACAATAAATGTTGGAAAAATATGGCGATTAGTCAAATATGGTAGATTGTGAGTTAATATCAATCAGCTCAGATAAAAAAATAATAATAATATTGCACATTTGTTTAATTAACAACGCCCTGAACACACTTATGAGAAGCTATTAGTGCATTTTTGCCTTTCTCTCTCCTGCAATATGGTGTCACCATGCCCGCAACAGATTGACCACTACTCCCCCCCCCTCCTCTCTCTCTCTCTCTCTCTCTCCCCCTTCCCTGTCTCACGCTATTCCCCTCCTCCTCCTCCTTCTTCTTCATCCCGTAGGCTATCTGTCATTCTGAGCACTGCCGAGACGACGGCTCAATCCTCTAAACGCCCGGATGAGAGCAGCAGGCGACATTCAGGACAACTTGGTCGCATGAATCGGCGGAGACGAGGGCAACCAACCATTCCGGTGGGGGACGACGGCCACTGCTGGAATCTGTGACATTCTCGGCACAGCCCACGGAGAGCGGTTCTGGGAAAATACAGGCAAGGGTATAGAGGCGAGGAGGCGGAGAGGAACACGGCACATTTCCCCCCCTTGTGGTGTCCGATTTCGTTGGTAAGTACATTTTGTCTGGGCAAAAAAAAAAAAAAAAAAAAAAAAGGACACGCTGCCCCCTGTTTGTTGTTCATCTTTTCGACTGGCCTGCTGTCCTGTTCAGCCACTTTTCTTCACGCATTTCTTTTGTGGTGAACGAGACGGAACGGGCCTGGTAAGTGTGAACACACAACGTGAAACATGCATGTCTGTGTATAGTAGGCGAGCCGCGGCAGCTTGCAGCCTCGAAATATTTCATTTTTTACTCGCAAGTCGGATTTCACCACGAGCGGCTTTTTGTTTAAAAAAAACAACAACAAAAAAACGCGCCCGTGCTGTTGTTGCCACCGCTCGCGACGCAGCTGAATGAAGCCGCTGCACGTGTGTGACTCCTACATCCAAGTGTGTATCACAATAGCACTGATTCACTCTCACACACACACACACAGACAGTCTGGTGGTCCGTTCACCAGCCA